GCAAGTGCTAACCTTGCATACGTGTTTGAATTGTCCATCAATATTTTTTCGACATTCTTCTTCTTCTTCTTCTTCTTCTTCTCACTTGCTTGAACGTCGGGGTTATCACTATCACCACATGCCATGGACGATATGTAGATCCATCCATTGGTGCTATAGTGGTATAAAATTGATGCATAAGCTTTCGAGAATATTGGAGTATATCCCAACAATGATGCAACTTGAAATCGTTTCTAGTGTTCGCTACGAAAAGGTTTTTTCTCGTACAACCTAAAAATTGACTCAAGTATATTATTAAGTGTAAACTACATGCATAAATTGGAAATGAAAAGTATGATAATAAATATAAGAACTTGATTACTAACCACATTACTTGGGTTCTCTACGCTCTTTGGTGTCACTTTCGCTCTCCTCGACATTGCATTCCACGACCCACAATGGTGAACGATGGTCTTCCATAAAAAATGTAAGCCCGCGTTAGTACTTGAAACCCAACATCCCTTAGAAGCAAATACGCTCCCACTCGCCTCCAAAAATCAATCATGGTTTGATGATGACTAACAACACCATCTTCCACAATATCCAAGCATTACACAAAACTTCATATTCACTTTTCTTCCAATTTGGAGGACGATTAGGTTGAAACATGATGAAGAAGATGTGAAAAAGATGGAGAGACAGATATGGAATGGTGAAGTGAAGTAGTTGTGAAGAAATGTAGTGTATTTATATGGTAAATTGAAAAAAATAGTTGTTAGAGGTTGTTAGAGGTCAAACTAGTCGTTGGAGAGAATTTGGAGGTATGAAAGTGTAATTTTTTATTCAAACAGACCAAAAAGCCCCATTGCCGAGGGGTCCGCGCATCACATATATGGCTCCTATCACCGCCCTTTCCGCGTGCGAGTGAGACGCACTCACCATCTCAGGCGCGTCTAGCAGGAGGAACGTGGGCGGTGGGGGAGAGGGTGGGATATTGGCTCCCTTTGTCTTGTACTGGCCAAAAATAGCTCCAACATCCATTTTTTGGACACTTTGGCTCTTTTCATGACTTATTAGAAGAAGAATAGATATAGACTTTGACACTTTCACTCCTTATTGAAGATTACATTATTGTTTTAATTGCTTCAAATTAACCTCAGGCCAAATCTCATGGACCAGCCTAATCTTGTCTATGTGTGTTCTTTTTGTTGGTGATCTCATTCCACTTTCGGCAAGCAGCGAGTCGAAGCTTGTATATCCTTTTAATGACTTAATTAATGATCTAGGTCATTTTGGTCCTACTTCGTAGGATAAGGGATGACAAAAATATCTGAAACCATGGATATCCGTCCGAATCCGATCTAATTGGGTAAGGTAAAACCCGAACCGTAATGATTTTCAGTGGTTACGGGTAAAACACGATCCCCGAATATTGCGGGTCATGGACGGACACGGTTTTCTCGCTATCCAATTCGAACCCGCCTGATTATGCACGTGCATATGTATTTTGTCTAGAAATGATCATTATTTTTCTCAACGTATTTTATATTTAGCATAGAAATGTAATATTTTCATGAAATTGTGTTGTTTGAAATTAATTTTCTTCATTCTAGTGAATTATTATCGTACTTTTCCACTTAAATAATGTGAGTATACGTGTGAATGTTAACATTTTGATTGGAGTTATAAAGAGAAATTATTACACATGGATAACCCTGGATACCTGAAACTCGAACGGGTTGGGAGTTTTAATTTTCTACTCAATTCTTGTGTGGGTATAGGTAAAAACCGAACTACTTTAAGTGGAGCAATAGATATGTACTATCCGCCCCGACCCAGTCCGTTGCCATCCAATTGTTCATAGTTGCTCTTATTTTTTGGGTTAATAGCATTTTGTGCCCCTCTACTATTGCGGATTAACAAACGTGCCCATGTACTATATTTTTGCACAAACATGCCCTTCTAAATTTACAACGTAACTAAATTACCCTTCTGTTGAAAATTCGGTTTACTCACCGTTAACTGGGATCGGAAATGACCTAACTACCCCTGACTAATTAAGAAATCCCGTTTTAGTTAGAAAGTGATTACAGACGAATTAAAAAACTAAAAGAAATCCCTTTTGAATTAGAAACCCATTACGCTGTTTAATCCCTTCATCTTCTCCCTCTACTGTAGAGCAACCCACGATAATCATCGCGGTCGACCACACCGCCGGCGTCGGCGCCACCTTCACCGGCGTCGGCGCCACCTTCACCGGCGTCCTCCAGCGACGCACTCCAGCGTGTGCTCTAGCGGCGTCCTCCAACGGCCTCGAAATCCATTAGTTGAAGTTCAAGTAGCAATATCGGGTGGGTTGGACGAAGAAGCTATATTGGGAAGCAGTATTGGGTGGGTTCGGCGTTTACGTATCAGTTCCCAAGCTTTGAATGGTTATTATATCCCCTCACAACTTGAGGTACGGCTGAACTCAAAATCTCATTTTTTAATCCCTAATTTAGTTGAATAAGACAAAAGTTAAAATTAAGTAATAGTTCTTTCTAGGACCACGTATAAGGAAGATGGATGGTGGAATTAAGTTAGAAAGTTTCAAAAATGAACATAAAAGGGGTGAGAAATAGGGAAGGAAGGCAGACCTCTTCGATTTTTTGAGTATTGCTGGTGATGCAATCCAGGATAGACCGTCGGAGGAAAGGTTGGGACGAGGAAGAAGCTGGGCTCAATCGATGTCTAGACAGATTCCGGAGTGAAGTACGCAACAATGAGGTCATTCTTCCAAGCTCGAGTGTCACTACATATGAGATCAACCACTTTCAAGGGGGCGTCGAAAACATCTGGGAGAAGAGTCAGCGATGAGGGGGGAGTGGTTGGCAACCACACATCTTCCAAAACCCGTATATCCTGCCCTGATCCCACTCTCCATCGAAGCCCACGCTTGACAAGATCCCGACCTGCCAAGATCCCCTGCCATGCTCAGGATGGTCTGAATCCCGCATCAGCAGCAAGGAAGTGATGGTGAGGATGATATCTTGCTTTGTAGGTCTGTCACAAGCATGAATCCGGATTGAGTAGCACCCTCCAGGCCTGTTTCGCTAGCAAGGCCAAGTTAATAGTTGTTCATTTAATGATAAGAAAGGCTGTGATCACTTATCAGTGAATGTGAATCGGTGCATTTGATATTTTATTTTTGTAACTAGTGTGGCCCCGGCCATTTGGCCGAAGGAAGGTGAGGTATGAAATTTGATAATGTAATGGGGTGTATAGTTTAATGTTGTATAGTTTTTTTTTTTGGAAAACACGTGATAAAAATAGTGAATTTTAGTAGGAAAGAGACATGAATGATGCAACGAATCAAAAATCAGTCTTATGAACCAAAATCAAGTATCTGTTACCTTGTGAAACAATATTGTTTCTGGTAATATGATGAGGTGGAGTAAGTTTTATAGAAAATCGAATAAAAAATCGTCTATCCCGTCGGTTTTCAGGAAATGAGCATCTCACAATCGTTGCTAGCTTTTACTCGGCCCGTTGGCCGATTAATTTACTTTATAAAACTTTCATCTTGTCATCATTGTGCTTTCTGTTTTTTTTTTTGCCAAGCCATGATAAAATCTATAGAAATCAAGAATGAACAACACGATTTGGGATATGAACCACCGTTCCTGTATCCCTAGAAAATGGTGGTAAACACTGACTCACCTGCCAAACTGGTTTGGATTGAGATTTTTATCGGGTATCAGGGAACCATGTGATTATAAATTAGACATGATCAAAACGGGCCAAAACTTGAAATTCAGCCTGTTTGACCGACCCATGCCAAACTCTAATTATTCTTTACTTTTAAACTTTCTATTTGAAAATAAAAAATAATGAAAGAAAAGAGATGACTGCAATTCGCCATTAGCACATCACTGATTCGGGAATAAAATTATAAAACTATAGAAATTTGAAAGGAAACTGAAAATGTTTAGGATCGTTTTAATGTTAAAAATAACCAAATAGATCTTTCTGTTTAGTTTTTTACTAACAAATACCAAACGATTCCCTGTAATATACACTATAATTTTTTTTTTTTTTGATAACGAGGAACACCCTCCACGGTCACCACATTTTGTGGTGCCGTAGTCGGGCTAAACCCCGGGACCTCCGCCGGCGGTCCGGGTGATAGCGGGATGCCTCCGGGAACACCATGGTGGCGGTGAGGATCGAACCTGGGACCTTATGGTCACCAGTCCTCCTCCCTTACCACCAAGCTATGTGACCTTTGGCAATATACACTATAATTTAATCATTATGATCTCAAATAATTACATAATATATATTTGAAATGATAAAAATTGGACTAATTGAGTTGGTCGAGGTTGAACCATTGAATAACTTTAAAATACATTATATTTTAGCCACTAAGATATAAAATAATAGCATAATATATATTATGCCAGAGAAAATAACTTATTTTAGAATGGCGAACCCATGATGTTCATTTTTTTACTTGATGGGCAAATCCCGTGTAGGTCAGGCCCATTCAACTCTTTTATTTTATGATTAGCGGTTAGCCCATTAGAATCCATGCATTAGTTTATTGTTAAATTTTTTTCCTTTTAGCAATAAAAAGGAATATTGTTTTTGCCTTTTCATATATATTTTACCACCACGGAGAAATAAAAGGACTTAAAGAAAAAAATTGACACTCCTGGACCCGTTTAAATACGCATGTGTACAGTAAGTTGGCCCGTTCCACAGAGGAAAAATAAAAAAATTGACACTCCCTATTCTACCCTTCCTACAAACGCTTTTGGAGCAGAGAATTTTAAATGGGGGAAGAGTTTTTTTCTCTCTGCGATTATATGTTTTTATTTTAAAAAAATAGAACAAATGTACTTAGTGTGATTGATTATGATCTTTGCTTTTTTTTTTAAAATGGTCATGATTCGAATCCTAATAAGTGTCATTTTTAATGAATAAAAAAAAATTGTGAAGACCAATTCTGGGCCACTAACCCAATGGACCCGGGCCTAATGGCGGTAAGAAAGCCCGGCCTAACCGCTCTGGTCTATTGAAGCTTTCATCTACTACTAGGTACGCCCTTTTTCTCCCTTCCCAAATTTCGGCAGAGGTTTTGGTAGGGTTTTGATAAGCGCCATTAGCATTCGCCCCTCTTCGCATCTTTGCTCGTTCTGGTAAATTCCTATCTACGCCTTACCCATTTGATTCGTTCCAAAATCCATTGTTGGTTGATTCGAAGGAATCTCGAGTAGCTTGATTTCACGATTCTGACTTCTGTTGTTAAAAAAGTTCAGCTTTCCCCAGCTAAATCAATGGCGAAGAAACGGAAGCATAGTGAAACAGTCGTGGCAGCACCTCAAAAGAAAGAGGAAGTTGCTCCCGAGCGACCCAAAAGAACCCTTCTTGGTTGGAAAGACAAAGAGGCTGCTGCGGTTGCTGCTCCTGCCGAAGACAAAGACGATGAAGTGCATCAGCCTACGAATTTTAGGAATAAAGAAAAGGTCTTGGTCACTTGCTCCCGTCGAATCGCTTACAGGTTGATAGCTTAATTGATTGAGGATTTTTTTTCGTTTTCATTTGATTTCGGATTCTGGATACTCGAATACGTGGTCAGATTCTCGGTTTAACGATGCCCATATGGTGGTAGGTACCGGCACCTGATGTTGAACGTGGTTTCCCTGCTTCCCCATTGTAAGAAAGATAATAAGGTTGAATCCCAAAGCAGCAAAGGAGTTGCACTCAGTGAGATGGTTGAGCTGAAGAGCTGCTCTTCCTGTTTGTTCTTTGAGGTATAACATTTCTTCATTTCTCGTCATTGTTGTTTCTTAGTTAGTAATTTGGAAGTTCATCAACGGTGGAAATGTGATTAGTTTCGGCAGCTTGGGTGGCTAAGATATGGGATTTGAGTTGCAATTCCTTTTGCTTTATCATATGAGCTTATTTCCATCGTTTGTTTACTGTAGTGCAGGAAGCACAAAGACTTGTATCTATGGATGGCAAAGTGCCCTAGTGGACCATCTGTGAAATTCCTAGTTAATGCAGGTAACTATAATCGTCACAGGTTTCTGTATGCCTTGGTTCATTTTCAGTAGTGTTCTTGTATTGGGTCTACTGCTTTAGATTTCTTTTGCTAAACGAATGGTTTTCGTTTGATAGTGCACACTATGGAAGAGCTGAAGCTTACTGGGAATCATCTAAAAGGATCGCGCCCACTTTTAACTTTCTCAGCCAATTTTGACAAAGATGCCCACTGGAAGCTTTTGAAGGAAATGATAACTCAGGTTTCAGTTTGTAAATTCTGTTCTTATTTTCTCAAACGGAAGTGGATGAGGCAGTGCAATCTTGACATGTAATATTTTTGGCATGATTTTGGATCAGATATTTGGAGTCCCAAAAGAGCACAGGAAATCTAAGCCTTATCATGATCATGTCTTTGTCTTCTCCATTGTGGATGACCATATATGGTTCCGTAATTACCAGGTAAAGTTTGCATCTGTTGCCTCAGAATTATTCCTGAAGTGCACTTGTGAAATTCTTTTGTGAAAGAGTCTTATAACTTACTCTGGTGAATTCACAGTTGAATATTTGCCTTACCATATGACAAAATAGATTCTATCTAGCTCATGCCAGCTTTTTCCCCCTAGAAACACAATGAATTTAGGAAAGCTGCTACAGTATATCTTGCACATATGGATTCAACGTATATGGGTATCTCTTAGTAGTACCACCTTCTTTTGAAATAAATATGGCAACTCTGTAGCGGCATGTGCAAGTTTCTGTCTGATTTCTGCGCTTCTGCATTTGTGAAACCATAAAATAGCAGGAGTTATGCTTGCTTGCCCTATTTATTTTGTATATGTTCTCACCATTTTTGCTATCTTGAGTTTGTTTCTTATTTAGACATTGATATTGCTGCTTACTCTCTAACCGCTTTTCTGTTAATTCAGATATCAGTTCCTCACAATGAATCCGATAAAATGGCTCGTGGAGGCCTGGACAAGATGACCCTTGTTGAGGTGGTTACTCCAATTCACATCTTAATTTCATTGGAATATGGAGCACTTATAGTCGAAGGTTCTTAACCTGCTACGTGATCTTACACAGGTTGGTCCGAGATTCTGTTTGAACCCTATCAAGATCTTTGGTGGCAGTTTCGGGGGCCCAACCCTTTACGAGAATCCATTCTACATATCGCCCAACCAGGTCAGTGTTCATTTTCCTTGGTAAAAAGTGTTCTCTTGAAGAGAGATGAAGTTCGTTTAGACCGTAGTTCAGGATATCTGGGTTTGGTTTTTTTGATAACATGTATGATCTGAATAACCTTTCTCCCGATCTTGGGACACGTTTTCAGATACGGGCACTAGAGAAGCGAAAGACTGCTGGGAAATATGCCAAGAAGGTGAAAGCCAAGACCAGAAGGAAGGTGCATGAGCTGTCAAATCAGCTGGAGGCAGGCGAGTTTTCTGAGATGTGGAAGGACCAGTAAGTACTTGGTCTTTGATGAGAGCTTTTTTGACGGCACCTGTATTTATATCAGCACAACTTGTGTATTCAGCTTGACATGGCATATGAGTGAGTTATCAGCTCAACTATCTTCAGCTATATCTATCTCTTAAGCAACTTGGAGTCCACTTGCTATTCCTGCACCACTCATTATTCCCTTCCACTGAAACTTAGGAAGATTCAGGTGCTCGGTGAGTGATGGCTTGATGTTAGAACTTAGAAGTCTTGTTAGGGCAACCAGATTAGTCTCAATCAAACATTACATCCTAGCATTGTACAAGTAAATCTATGTAACATGATTCGCTTGCCATCTGTCTCGATCAACTGAGCTGTCATGGTTGAAGGTCCAGAGTTTGGAGTGGAATAATCTCCATCAACTTGCTTTGATTGGTTAAGATCAGATTAGCAACGTATGCACCATATTGGAGGGCAAGAAGTGCTCCGGCTAAAATGGAGGTTCTTAGGAGTCGCGCTTTGTGTCGACAACATGCTAGCGCAATCATACTAAAGTGTATATGAATCTCATTTGTGTATCTGATCTCTCATGTTCACGATGACCCCCAAGATGGCAAGAATGAAATCCAAAACTGATCATGGCGGATGGGGGAAAATCCCAATAGCTCTCTTCTCTTTTTGGTTTTACCAGTTGGTGACCGCCTGTGCGCCGTATGTTCCAAAAACGGAATCCCACGCCACCAAGGACAGTTTGGCGGGTGAGCTCTTTTTCCACAGTAGGGCGTCCTTCAGTGGGAGTGTGCAAATTGCAATAGGCCTCTCGCTCTGTTCGGTTCGGCCGGATTTGGGCCATCATTCTGGGTTAATGGGAACCAACCGGACACCCTACCTACACTAGTTCTTAAAAAATAAATTACAACAAACAGTAGTTTTTATAAAAATTTCTGAAGTACACATGTTTTGAACAAATTGCTTGTGACAAAAGCGATCTATACACTAATCGTTGGTGACTAACACGATTGAAAGTAAATAGTTTTGAACAAAAGCAATCATAAGTTGATCGCCTCTGAATAAAGCGCGATCATATGTTGCTGGTCATTTTTCATTATGATCCCTACAAGGAAGGACAAAGAAAAGGCTTACACTTGTAAAGGGAAAGTTTTGTGAAGAGCAGTCATGATAGATATCCTTATAGGGTTAGTGTTTGGTTTCAGCTCAACCTTCCACTTATGACAAATCGAAAGCAGCCACAAATATTGTGCTTATCTCGATAAGGAAAAAGGAACGATTCCCTCCTTTTTTTGGGAGAATGCATGCAACCATTCCCAAATCCAAACTTCGAATTCAACAACACACTTGCCCATCTCCAATTTGATCACCCTAAAGTATTGCGGCGGGCTGGAGCAAATGATTAGGTGCATGAGAGGAAATCTGGACGACCGATGGATCGATGCCGTACTCCAGTGTCTTTACTTTACGGGGGAAATCTTCGTAGCAAAGATCTCACGCACAAAAAGAGGCAAACCATGATTCAATGTTCAATTATATTGTGCGCTGTTTTGTTTTATAGGTCCACGTCCAAACTCTAGGCTCGCACTTCATAGAGTAGCCGTAGGGCTCCATGAAAGATTCCTCTAGTCTAGTAGATCTGTTGTTTGACTCGTTTTGATCTTATCTGGTGAGAAAAACGGACATACATGTCCAGCGGGTCGATCTCTTGCAAGGTTAACAGGTTAGAGGTTGCACGGTGTCGTTTTTTCTTTGGTTTACGAAATGTGTCTATTTTTCGGTTTTTCTCTTCGTTTTACTCTATTTTTGAAATTCTAACTTGAACATTTGAATATTTATATTATATAAGTGTGTGAATTTTCAATAAATGTTGCTCGACCGGGCCAACGGGATATAGCAGGTTGACAACCCTTAATACTTCATCAGATTTGACATTGTAGCCCAATCAAATAAATATTCGCTCCATTGAGGAGTGCTGTAATACCAAAGCTCCAAATTTTCACTTGGCTCATAATCTAGTTTCATGAAGATTTCATCATTTTGAATAAATAATTAGTTTATTATTTTTATATAGATAGCAATAATTAATTAAAACGAACATTTTAGTATTTTTTTTTAATTTGGATATAATTTTTTGTCATCAAATATGATCAATGAGGAGTACACAATAAATGGTGGATCATTTGATGAAGCTGGTGTGCTAGTCGGGTTAGGTCGACATACAAGTATGTAATTTAGAAAATTATTTGAAACATTGATTTATTTACTAATAAGTCAGGGAAACAAACTATGACATGATAGATGTAGTAAAATTATTTAAGAAGTTTCGTTTACATATTTACAACTTTATCATAGCCCAAATATGATGTAATAAACCAAAACTCTAAGTAATTTGAAGAAAATTATATATAATTTAGTTAATAGCCCAAATATGATGTAATAAACCAAAACTCTAAGTAATTTGAAGAAAATTATATATGATTTAGTTAATACGGTCGACCATAGAACGTGAGGTCGAGAAAAGTACCCTCACATCCCAGCATAGGTCAAACGGATCAAGTAAATCATGGTCAAAATCGAAAAATGTCATCCAATCCAACGGCTCACTCCTCGCATCAATTTCATCACCACACAATCTCTCACCAACTCATCCGCCGGGATTTCAACACGTGTCATGTCCAGCTTGGCTTGATCGCTACCCTACGCACGTGACGTCCATTTTCACCAAGGTTGTCAACCCGTGGGTTGACCCGGACCCGGTCGAGCTAGTGGGTCAAGGGTTAATGGGTCAACCGTTTTAGCCCGGTTTGGCCCGGAAATATAAAAAGAGTCATTATATTGTACTTATCCTCATAAATTATATCAAATCTTATCTAACATATGAGTTATAACATATAATATTACACCAAAATAACATATCGTACTTAGATCCAACATATAGTGAAAATTCACACACACTTCTATAACATAAATGTTCAAATGTTCAACTTAGTATTCCAAAGATTGAGTTAGACGAAAAGAAAAATTGGAAAATAGGCGCATTTCGCAAACTAAAGAAAAAAATGACACAATTTGACCTCCAACCCGGTACCTTATAGCGGTCGGCCCGGCAGGTGCGTGCGGCCCGTTTTTCTCACCGGGTCAGGGTTAAATTGGGTCAACCCGCGGGTTGACAACCTTGATTTTCACAGATGTGATGTCACTTCAATGAAGGGGCCGGACCCCGGCGCCGGACCCGCTTCAGAACGATTCTGGAACTTGAAGCAATGAGACGCTGCTACGATGTGACGCGTTTTCTGCCGTTGGATCATGGGGAGAGTTTAAACTATCACAACAATCCGAGTGGCTGAAAACGTGAGGGCCGGAATGCGCCGCGGCCCACGGCTGGGGTCCGTATGGGCGGTTGGGCCTGAGTAGGTCAGCTCCGGTCCTACATCGGCACATGAAGCGGCGCCGTCTGATCCAGGCTCGCCGCTCAATTATTATTATTTATTAGTTAATTTCGAAATTGCTAACCATATTTGGGAATTATTTAATTTTGAGTGAGAATGTGCGTGAGACAGCGAAATGACACAACTACACCCTTTGAAATTTGTGTCCTATCCTAAAGCCCACAGCCAGCGGGAGGGAGGGAGTCCACAACTTTGATACTGCTCTCGTTGTTCTCTTTTTTTTTTTTTTTTTTTTCTCATTGTCATATTTATGGGGCATATCAAAATTAATGCTAAAAAGCCCACTATTGTCCTTGCAAGTTTATGTTATTGGTACTGCACTTAAAGTTACAAATCTCGTAATTTTTTGTAATTAGTTATAGTTTATCCGTAATTTATCAGGTATATCTCCGTGTATTGGCAGAATTCAAATTTGTTTGGGATTTCATTTCACAATTTGCAGAAGCTAATATGGATGCTAAATATGTATATGAAACGAATGAAACATTGTGACACGCGCTTCGAAGTTTCAATAAGTATTTGGAGCTGCTTATTATTATATATGCCTCCTTGTAAGTTGTAAGGCTTCAATATTTGATTGAGTTATTTTGTGATATGCATGAATGTTTTCTATTTTGTTAACGTAAAAGTGCGATACTTGTGATATGAAGGTTTTCTTGTTAGTTTCATTATGATGTTGAAACCTATAACATTGATGTTCTCGTGAGAATTCAAATCAATTTACAATAGCGATACTTAGATTAAGAATAAATATTGCACTAAAAAATCTTAAAAATGAATTGATCATATATCTTTTCCTTTGAGAATTTACGTTATTTCTCCACGTAAAGGTGATATGATTAAGGATGAAGGTTGATGTACCAAAATGGAAGAGGAATAGTACTGAATAATGGGATGGACAACATTCAACCACTTTATTTGACTTGGAATCTCAGCAAAATATCCAAAGTTAACAATCATTTCGTTGCATTCCATAAAAATCGTGTACGAAAAAGATAATATAAATTAGTTAAGATACATGTATTTGGATACATGTATATATGTTTCTTAAAAATACACAGACGCACACAACCACCCTGCATTGTTTGGTTGGGACAGATGTAACAAGACTCGCATAGTCATAATTAGGCTTTTGCTTGGGCGACTTTAGCACCATTTACACTTGGACACCCGCCCGCCCCCCCAAACAGCAATAAAAATGTATATATAATAAATCAAATAAATTCAACAATCATAGGAAAAATCGCTTCCTAGTTAAGTTCATCGAGCAATCGATCGCCATGTTTCACCCACATCTTCCTCTATAAAAACCACCAAAACCACATCCCACCCCGCCCCACAAAACTACAAACAACCAAAGAGCTAGCTTGAAACAACCAAACTAAACTAAGCTATTATTTGCATGGAGATCGCGTCGTCCACGATCTTCATCTACACTTGCTGCCTCTTCCTCTCTTACCACTTCCTCGTGAAAATCATAAAACCAATCGTCATCAACAACAACGAGGAGAATCCGAAGCTCCCCCCGGGGACAATGGGATGGCCTTACGTGGGCGAAACCCTCCAACTCTACTCCCAACACCCGAACCTCTTCTTCGCGACCAGGAAGAAGAGGTACGGGGACGTGTTCAAGACCAGCATCCTGGGCTGCCCTTGCGTCGTGCTGGCCAGCCCGGATGCTGCCCGGTTCGTGCTGGTCACCGGTTCCCATCTCTTCAAACCGACCTACCCCAGAACCAAAGAAATGCTCATCGGCAAGTCGGCTCTCTTCTTCCACCAGGGCCACTACCACTCCCGCCTCAAAACCCTCGTCCGCGCCTCGCTTTCTCCGCACCGCCGCCTCCGCCACCTCACCCCTCGCATCCAGTCCTTAGCCCTCTCTTCTCTGCACTCCCTCGCCGCCTCCGCCGCCTCCGCCGCAGTCGTCTCCACTTTCCACGAGCTGAAAAAGTACTCGTTCGACGTCGCCGTTCTGGCCGTGTTCGGAGAAGTAGTAGTGGACCCCCGTTGCAAGCGAGAGTTGAGCCGTGACTACGGGATAGTGGAGAAGGGCTACAATTCTTTCCCCACCAGAATCCCGGGGACGGCTTACCACGCGGCTGTCTCGGCGAGGAAGCGGCTGGGGGAGATTGTGCGCGAGATAATAACGAGGGAGCGGAATAATAAGGAGAAGAAGAAAAGTAGTAGCGTTGAAAAGGAGGGGTTGCTGCTGGGACAGCTGCTCGATTTCAAGGACGGGGAGGGTGGAACGTTGACCGACGAGGAGATCGCCGACAATCTCATCGGGGTTGTGTTCGCGGCGCGGGACACTACGGCTAGCGTGTTGACTTGGGTGCTTAAGTTCCTCGCCGACGACCGCAAGCTACTGGAAGCCGTCAAGGTAGGTGGCAGATATATTTAATTAATTTAGCGTTTTCGGAGTTAACCCGGTGATTAAATGATTTGGCAGGCGGAGCAAATGGCGATTTATGAAGCCAACGAGGGAGGCGGGGAGTGCTTAACATGGGGACAGATCAGGAATATGCCTCTTACGTATAGGGTAGGTATAATTGATTACGCCCTTGATTTTGTCATAATTATAAAAAAAAAATTAGGAATGCTGGTGGTTGAGGATTAAAATTTTTGTTCAAAATTGTTAACTCTCCACATCGAGCTCGCGCTTGACATGATCCAGAATTCCAGACTAGACATACGACAATAGTTTGTTCTCGTGACGCTTGTGTGAATGAATAGCTATGCTAAGAATAATATTTGTTATTAAATTCGAAATGGAAAATAATCAGCCGCCGTCGTTGCATCTCTTAGTATATTGGTTTAATAATTTGAAGTTTATAAGCAATACTTAAACGCCATTACCGTATCCCGTCCCACACATGCATGCAGGTGATTATGGAGAGCTTGAGGATGGCCAGTATCATATCATTCACATTCAGAGAAGCAGTAGCTGATGTGGAATACAAAGGTGCATGATGATATAAAATACCAAATTTACTTTCAGTCCCTCCATTTTTTACTCTATTTTTTTTGGCAGAATGTGCTAGAACTTTTCCTTTTTTTTCTGTATTGGTTTCTGAATACATATTATAAATGGCAATATGTTTGTAGGGTACTTGATACCAAAAGGGTGGAAAGTGATGCCACTGTTCAGGAACATTCATCACAGCCCAGAATTTTTTCCTGATCCACAAAAATTTGACCCTTCTAGATTTGAGGTAATAATATTGTCGCTTTTTTTTTTTTTGGGTTGTATTTATTGAGGGTATTTTTCCAGACAAATAGTGGTCAGCCATTGGCCCAAGTAGTAGAAACTAGAGATAAAAAGCCAAAAAGCCCAATTAGAACAAGACAATGATATTTTGTGCCAGAATCTGATTCGAATGGTGCTCTCTTCTTTGGTTGGGTTGGTTGGTGGGTATTAAAATAGGTTCCTCCAAGGCCCAATACATTCATGCCATTTGGGAATGGATCACATGCTTGCCCAGGAAACGAACTCGCCAAACTTGAAGTCCTCATCTTCCTCCATCACCTTCTTACCAATTTCAGGTACCTACAAACATAGGGAAAAATTATATATCGTTTCCTAACAGCTACACAGAAAAACAAACAAAAAACATGTATTCTCCTTCACATTTGGTTCAACTGCTTCATGTACCGCTAAAAATTATCTATCGATTTAGACTTCGATAAGAAATTTTTCTGATCAGACCGCCAATACAATATGATTTTACAAACACCGTTAATATTAGCTCTTATTGTGGGGGAATGGGTCCTGCCCAATTGTTAGGGCTGAGCCATGAGAGATAGCTGATTTATGTATATTTTTGGGTTGTATTTTGTTTGGTTTTGCAGGTGGGAAGTAGTGGGGAAGGGAAATGGAGTTCAATATAGTCCATTCCCTGTACCTCTAGAAGGGTTGCCCGCTAGATTTTGGAGAGAGCCACGTTCATCAACCCCTCTAAAGCACAGCTGCAACCCCTTCTAATTTATCACTTAACCGTACACCTTTTTTAATATTTTCTTCTCCTAATTGTATTTGATATGGAAAATCTCGCTGATGCAAAACTCATTATAATCTTTGAGTTTCATGATTATCGCAGTGTACAGTAATAGAATGTCAAAAAGTATATATATAGCCGCCAAACAAAGCAGGGAACAACTCTCTGTAGTAATCACACTCGCCAAAGAGATGATCTCTAGTTTTTTTTAGCCATGGTTACAGAGTTTACAATGGAAAGGACCTAGAAAATCCCATTGACTCATCTTCTTCCTTGTTTGAATCTTTTCCTCTAACAATCAGCCAAATCAAAAATCCATTTCATGGGACAACAATTCCCTTCTAGCGGAGAGGCAGGATATATTTGAGGATCGGAGGCCGGAGTTATTTAGTGTATTATAACAAAAAAAAAAAAGGATTATTACAAGAAAAATTAATACTTATAGTAATTCATTTTCTATTATTATAATGATACAAGGTGTTATTTTATATAAAGAAAAATTATGAGCAAATAAATTAATCATGCATCGATTGTCGTTTGGATGAGTTGTTGTGTGACGAGTTAATATAAAAGTGGAATTCCTCACAATAACTACCCCTATGAGGTATTGACAATAACTCATTAATGAGTTATTTCAAATTAATTCAAGTACAAATAACTCATCACCAACTTTTGTAGACAAACGAGTTATTTGCACCCAAATAACTCATACGAATAACTCATCCAAACGAGTATGTTTATCTGCATTTCTGTAAATGGAAAATGGATGTTCATTAATAAAATAAGTAATTAATATATAACTAAAAGATTTATTAGAAATAAGGATCTAGAAGAAGTTACTTGACCTATTTTAAAGGCACTTAACTCATAAACACAAATGATGAAAGTTCATTTGTTAATACAATAATTAATATATAACTAAAAGAATCCTAAACAATAAGAAATTTTGACTTGTAAATACAAACTTTCATACAAACTACGAAAGATAAAAGGGTTAAATTTCCCTTCGGTTACATAACACATTAAACTAACAAGCTTACAAATGTAAAATTTTCACCTTTCTCTTGGCTCAAACCTAGGCCACCTGGTGAGGAGTACAATGTAATTTCCATTGAACTATGTTCATATCCATGTTTACAGTTGCAAGCGACCAATATTAATAATATAACCTTCATTTTGTATGCAATTTTCCCAAGTCCAATAAAATTTTGTACGTAATTTCAAAATTGCCCATCTAGCTCCGCCCATGCTTCTATAGCAAGTTACTCCATGCCACCTTTCGATGCTGAGGTCTTATTTTATTCAATATCTTCTTGATAGCATATTTCTGCATATGTTGAGAATTCCAATAAATCCCCCCTCCATCATAGAATGAGAACAAATTTGGAATACCCCAGAAATGCATCCTTTTGAGCTTGTAAACCATATCTCAAGCGTCCTAGAGGGACCCCTGCTGCAACATGATAGCCCAAATATGCATGAATATACATGTTAAATTCCAGGAGGTAATTAAGGTCTCTCACACCCAAGCCTCCTTCAGCTTTAGGGAAAGCCAAATGCTTCCAGACAACTTTTGCTCTGATCATGTTACCCACTTCCAGTCCCAAAAAATTGCTACAAATTCTTTCCACTTCTCGGATGACAGCCTTCAGAAGTACAAACACCGACATCAAATATTGAGTCAAACTACATAAAATTGTACCCACTAGCTCTAAACTGCCTGCATAAGTCAATACCTTCCATCCATTAACTCTGTTAGTGAAACGATCGATAAGAGGTTCAAAAAAAGCTACACTCAACTTACCAATTATTTGTGGGACTCACAAGTATCATATTGGAAATTTTACTAACTACTAACCAAATTTAGCAGCTCTTATTGTCATTTCTCCATGGTCCAATCCCCCAAAATATATCTCACATTTGATAGGATTGGACCTCAGACCTAACAAAACTCTAAACTTCTCCAAACTCCTTATATAATATGAATCCCAAGGTTGGAGCTGTATGAGAAAACCAACAGATGAACCCCGAAACACACATATGTTATCCGTCTATCCCAATCTTTTTGCACATAGGACGGAAAGAAAACGGGCCATTACTAGTAGATTCATTCCAAGGAAAAGTAAACACCTTCGTAGCCACAACAAATAGATATGAAGATAAATGACCTCCCTGTCTAAAACCTTGGCAAGCTTCAAAATGCCCAATCAAACCACCAATTTAACCGCACACTCAACATATGAGTTCTATGCATATTCTTGCCTACTAAAAAACGCAGTAGTTATACATATGGCTTTAAGTACAGTTAAAATGAAATCTCAATTGATTGAATCCAAATCCTTCATACGATCATCTTGTTTGCACATCTAGGTGAATGGTCGTCGCAGAATACCTTCAAACTAACTCTTGATCTAAAAGAAAGATATCTTATATAACTCTGTCCTTACAAATGTTTGGTTTTTTATAATGATTAAAGGAAGTACTTCACTCAATCTCTTAGAAACTATCTTTGACATGCGTTTGCATATGATGTTACAACAAGCAATAGACTTAAAATTCTTCATCTCTTCTCGATTTGATACTTCAGGAATTTAGGTAAGGATTGTGGAAGTCATTTCACATGGCATCTCACTACAATAAAACTTATTTTTAATCATGGGATTTTCTTCACGAGATTTTTTCCCGTTCTAAAAAGTTCTTTTAGTTATTTGTATCATTCATGTCAAGAAAGCACTTTTGAATTGCCTTGGTAATTTCAACACCCTAGGGGTGAAAGCTTGTCCCTGAAAACCCACTGACCCGTCCCGACCCGTCCCGTCCCTAAGGGTCGGGACGGGTCAGTTTGTCTACAGGGACAGATTAGGGACGGGTCATTTGTTGACCCTGTAAGGGCCGGGACGGATCGGGACAACTTAGGGACGGGTCACGTTTTGACCCTGTGACCCTTAGCAACAACAAATATCTCATACTTCATTGGACCTTTTTGTAAAGTTTTAAAAGTTTAGGTACTAATTTGTAAAAATAAAAAAATTTGGGTACCAAAACGTAATTTTACCATCAAAATTTATGGACTTATTTGTAAAAAAAATAAAATTTAGGTACTAAATTGTAAGAAAAAATAAATTTGGGTACGAAAATGTAATTTGTAAAAAAGTAGTGTGTTGATTAGGGTCGACCCACTGACCCGGCCCGTCCCGTCCGGTCCCAACCCTTGAGGGTCAGACAGGGTCAAGAAGGAGACAGGGACGGGACGGGACGGTTATACATCTTGACCCTTCAAGGACGGGTCAGACAGGGACAGGGACGGGACAGGGACGGGACAGACAAATTTTCAGCCCTACAACACCCACAAGTGACCATGTAGCGTGGAAAAAAGTAATTGATGATAATTCATCAGGGTCTGGACTCGTATCACCATTCATCCAAAATATGGTTTCCTTTACTTCCTCTTCCCAAACAGGATCACATAGATGGGTATACTATTATATTGTGAGTATTTTTTAGAATTTTCTCATAAAACTCAATAGGAGGCGCCTTCAGTTCCCCATTAGTATGTCCAAGTAATCCTGTATAGAACTCATCAACAATCTTGCCCATTTCTTCCACATCTCGAGTTCTATTTCCATGAGATCTTCAATGACCTTATAGTATTTCTTATTTTCCTTGTTTTGACAGATCTTTGAAAGTAGACAGTGTTAGCATCCCCAATTTCAACCAAATTTCCCTTAGCTTTTTTCCTAAAGAATGATTCTTCAGCTGGCATTAGGACAAAAAAGCTCTTAGGAGATCTTTCCTTCCAGTTCAAACAAACCTAGTGATGGATACGATAAGAGCCTAACTACGGATATGTTGCAAAATTTCTTTTTTCCCTCCACTCTATCTCTCAACTGTGAGAATTCTTCTCTATTCAACTTCTTCATTAAGCCTTTCAGAACCTGTAACTTCTTATATATTCTGGTAAGATGAGGGTCTGAAACTATTGTGTCCCAACCTTCTCTAATAAGCGAGTCAAACTTGGGATGCTTCAACCAAAGCTTGAAGAATTTGAACGGCTTTGGCAGAGATTTCATAGGGATTTCAGTATGTAAATAAGCTAGGAAATTATCTGAAATCTCTAGGGACTGCATATGAACTTCAATATACTTTAGATTACCGACACCTTCTGACACAAGAAGTAAAATGTACAGTGACCGAGAGTGTCAGGCGCCTGACCATAACATTTATAGCTTGACAGACACCTGGATCACGTATCTACCATCCAAACTTGTATAATGTTCTCTCTACATTTACTAAAACTTCTCTGTGATTTTTCTGCCTAACATCTTCTCCTCTCCCACTCTTTCGATAGGCGGGGGCGTCTACTCACTTGAGGTAATGTCTAACGCCTCAAACCCCTTGGACCCAAATGACTCTTTATCGTTTGGGCTAAAATAGATTTATTCATATTACTGTACATTGAAAAGAATGACATTTCTACATGGCTTCCATCAAACATGCTCATCTATTATTTGTATTTCTTTATATAATTGACTGTTGAGATTGATAGGAACTCATCGAAGTTCATCTATCAGTCAGATCACTTGGAGTATACTATACTTCTAGAGTACACAAGTCTTTACTATATAGAATATGGAATATCCATGATTATCCGAAAATCAAATGGATGAGAATGAAAAATGCTCCACCCAAATAAGGACGGAGAGAATATGGGTTTGGGAATTGAAAATGGGATGTGGATAGGTTTAGGCCAATCTTCCCTGAACCCTGAATCCCTGATATCATCTCTAGACTCTAATCATATACACTCAAACTTGTGGGTATACCATAAACACAAAATTTATTTTAATAGAATAAATTCCTTAAAAAAGTCAAGGGAACAACCTTATTTTTGTTTGGATGCATATGATACACAGATACATCAAGCATCAAAATTTTATTTTCATCATCCGATTCGTCTCAAAATTCTTGCAATTATACAACATTAAAAATGATAATCTAAGAAAAATTATTTATGATTTGGTGGAATGTGGAGTATCTTAAAATTTGTTTGCATGTTTAATTAAAGCGAATAAATAAGAAAGAAAGTAGCTGCTGGAGCAAAGTGGAGGAGAAGCCAAGCAAGCAAAAAAGCATTCACGCAATCACGCTCACCCAACAATAACATAACTCCCCCTCATAAATTTGTGCGTATATTCCCTTCTTCCTTCCTTCCTTCCTTCCTTCGTCTGCTCATTTCTCAGCCAGGGCACGGAATAATATTCAACTTGGATTGTGTGCCGCTGAGATCTCTCCCTGAGCTTGGCGCCTTTTTCCATCCAATGCCACACATTTCTCCTTCCGCTTCGATCCGCCGGTGACTGTTCCTCCTTCTCCTCCTCCTTGCTCTTTTCCTTTCCAAGCTTTGTCACTATGGACGCCGTCGGGATCTGGAGCCGCGATATTGGGCCGCCGGAACCCTGGCATTCCGTCACCGCTGTTTGCTTCGCGGTCTGTCTCTGCGGCGCTAGGTTCCTCCTCGACAAATTCCTCTTTCGGGTTAGATTTGGCTTTTCTTGCTTTCTTGCTTTCTTTTGTTGCATTCGCTTTGTCGCGTCTCGTTTTCTTGGCTTTAATTCTGATTATATGGTTATTTAATTGCTCTTGTTTGGTTGCTGCGATTCCATGGGTTGGTGAAGCCATGGGAAAGAATTTAGGCTTCGACGTATTCTTAGTTGGTTTTGATTCATGCTTTGCCCCCATAGACGACGAGTCTACTGCTAGATTAGGATTGAGCAATTTGAGAAAGCTCCGGCATAGTTTCCTGCATTTCGTCGAGTGTTGTTTAACTGATTTGAGCAGTAGGAACGCTGTCATGATTGGTAATGTGGAAGCTCTTGGAAGTACAACTTTCGAATAGTGTCCCATTGGCTGAGTTCCTGTGCTGTCTAGCTTGGAATGGGTATGTCTCCTAGCTGTTAAGGCCATAGTAAAATAGTTGAGTTGTTTGGAAAACTCTTTTGGAACTCTGGGTGTCTGGTTTAGGCAACCTTTCCTTGGGGAGCTTTTGGCAATAATAGTTTCTCCTCGAAAGATTTTCTTGGATCGTCTCCCACCTGTCTTTTCTTTGGTTAGGCTCACCAAAGTTGGTACACGGTACAGGGGAGGGCATCACCATCTTACATTATGTAATCAAACTTGAAGGAATATTTTTTTTTCTCTGTTTGCTTCATCTGAACAACAAATGTGTAGAGCCAGGAGTTTATTCATTTGGGTATCTTGAAGCACTGTGGGATTGACTATAAAATATTAGCAAATGATTGTTCAGAAGGGTGTGTTTAGTGATTAGAAAAAGATGAAATTGGTGTCAGGATCATCTTGTATCTGTTCTCCAACTGTTTATTAATTTAAAAAACATAAACATTTTGCATCTTTAGCTTTATTTGTTGAGAAAATATGAACTTTTTCTCGCAGAAGCTGTTCTGTTCGATATTACTTGACAGGACTGAGAATATGAGACAAAAATTTTGTGTATGAATTGTGTATTTGTGTTTGTGGTGTTTCATAGAATCTGTAAAATTGGCCATTACACTGTGTCATAAGTTGACCTGGTGTCATTTGTATAGGAGAAAGAAACTAGAGTGGAACTGAACACTTCACTCTTCTTATTTTTCACCTCCTTGTGATGCCCTGTTCTTGTGTACATTGTAGGGTTTGACTGTTTGGTTGTTAGGCAAGAGAGCAGCTTCAGTGAAGATAGATGAGGTTACACAGGCGACAATTGTTAAATGCACCGAGTCAATGTGGAAGTTGACATACTATGCCACTCTTGAAGTGTATGTTCTGAAGATTCTGTTTGAGGAGCCATGGTTCTGGGATTCACAGCTGTACTTCAGAGGCTTGCCAAATCAAGAATTGAAGTGAGTAGTTAAATCGTATTAGCTATCCTGCTGTTTTTGTGGGCAACTATTGGGATTGGGTCTAAAATATAATATTTTTGTTCTTATTACTGCTAGTTGTTCAGGCTAATCAGCCTTATCATTTTTTTTTTGTGTGTGTGGTGTATTTCTAATACTCTAGATACCAAATTTCTCTTCTGTCTTTAAATAGTATCTTATGTTATGAGAGTCATACATCATTATGGCTCTAAGTTTCTATCCTGAGCACTGACAAGTCATTTTTCCATTGCAGGCTTTCCATTATGCTATATTACATGTGCCAGTGTGGATTCTACCTCTATAGTATTCCTGCTCTCATTCTGTGGGAAACTAGAAGGAAGGATTTCTCTGTCATGATGTCTCATCATGTTGTTACAGTAGCATTGATTGGAATCTCGTATGTTACAAGGTAGTGCTTCAGTGATCACATAGCTCTATGACTGACAATTTATTGTAGTTGACACATCCTAAAGGTTTTCATTGGCCTTATAATTTGTCCAATGGCCATCTTCTTGCTTCACCCTTTCATTGCATTTTCCATTTGTCGTCTTCACTGAAGAAATGGACTTCCCATTACCACCTGACGCAGGTGAACGATTGGTCGTTCATTTTCTACTTAAGATTCTTAATGTTCACCAAATCTATTTCATTTGCTGAATTCAAATAGTTTTATAGTTCGAAAGCGGTGCCCTTATTCATCTCTCTTTGTGGGTGGGTGAACTTTGGCATCTGACAAGAACATCTTGTAGAATTGTCATATGATTCAAACAGTAACAAACTTTGGTAAACTCCCTTTTTGGTGTCTCACATAACCAGAAAATGGCATATCTGAGCTATTAAAGCATTGTTCATTCTCTCTAAGATTGCCTATTCTATAAATTGCTTTTCAGAAGAAGCACCTCTAACTGACGATGTAGTCAAATGTCTAAACTTTCCCTCTCCAGCTTTTTCCGGATAGGTACTATCATCCTGGCCCTCCATGATGCTAGTGATGTATTCTTAGAAGCTGCTAAGATCTTTAACAAGACCAGGAAGGAGCTTGGAGCAAGCATTTGCTTTGGTTTATTTGCTGCCTCGTGGCTCATCCTGCGATTGATATTCTTCCCATTTTGGGTTATCAGTAGTACAAGGTTTGTCACATTACTTGATCTCCTTTCCTCCTTTCTATGTCTGTCAGATTTGTTACAATATCATGTGGTTGCTTTATCTGCAGCCGCGATCTTGTGGAGTACTTGGATTTAAGACGGTGGTACCCAAGGTCATTGTACTATGGGTTCAACACGTTACTGATTACGTTACTTATATTCCACATCTACTGGTGGATTCTGATATGGGCTATGATAAAAAAGCAACTATTGAATAGGGGAAAGGTTGAAGGCGATATAAGATCTGGTAAGGCTTCACCGCTTTAGTTAGTGAGTTTGTGTCTGTTGTTCTTCTTTTTCCTGTAATTAGTTGACATTGGAATGACATATGGATGCAATTTGGTTCCATCTTTCAACAGATGACCTCCTAGCTTCTGGTCCTTTAGTTTTTTTTTTTTTTGTTTTTCCATCTTATTGCAATAGTGGCTCACTTCTGCTTCAAGCCCCAGCAACTGATCATAGTTATTTCTTGCCATTGCAGACTCGGAAGAAGAGGACTGAAAGGGTAAAGGTGATGTTGTTCGTCGGAGATTTCTCGGGTTGTCTGCCTGATAGATGGCAGTAGGGGCGCGGCAATCAGGGGTTTTGACTTTGATTCTTGTTGTAGGGTGGGGTGCTGGCGAACCCTAATATTAGTTCCAGCTTCTGAGAGTTTGGATGTGGTGCAACTGTAGAGATGAGTTGACGAAGTAGGAGCAAAGGATTAGAGCAGGGAGGGAGGCAGGCAGGCAGCATGATGGTCTTCTTGTTAGTTGATTTTGGGGTTGGTGTCTTTTACATTTTACAATTTACTCTTCATTTGGTGTACACATGATATGATAGGCAACTCAACTCCTGTATAATTGTGCTCTCTCTCGATATAGATCATCAGTTTTGAGATTTAGTTTTACGATTATTAGTGAAATGAAAATAGCGAGGGAGAAAAATATATACGTATAAAAGAACATAAAATTTTCCCAAGCTCGGTAAATCGACAGAGTATATAGTTGTCGTTCCCAATTTACAAGTACCATATATGATTATTTGAAACTATGCTACTCTCTGCGCCTCTTTTATATTGAATGCAAAAAATCACTTGAAGTTGGGAGCTAGGAAAGTTCTGCATATCGATGCATTCATAGACAAGCATCTAGACTAGACAGTCATGCAATGCCTATTGGAGAAAAACATAAGTTTGGGAAGCTTGTTGCTAAGATTTGCACCTGGACCAAGGATATTGCAGAGCTTGTAGCACGACAATGTTTTAACTAGAAGCAAGTGATGAACAGGGAATGAACGATGTCGTTCTACCTTGTATCCATTTCGATTTCAGTAATCAGTGTACATGACAAGTGCCTCTTTCTTATTGGTAGATAGTGTTTAGTTGGATATTATCGTTGTAATTCAACTTAGCTACCTAGCTTGTACAGATGACGATGTCATTCGCAGTATAATATACATCCCTTATGGCTCATGAGCCCTTTTGTGGGTTCCCCTCCAAATCCGACCCTTCATACAAGTTTCTTACGGTATTAGAGTCCCATTCATCCGATTAGGGTTTCGTACTCTATGGAACTTTGTCCAGGACACTCTCTAGGCGGCAGGACTACCGGCGCATTTCATGGAGATCACCATCAAATGCATCTCTACTGCAAGGATGCGTATCTAATAGTTCTTACTATCTCGAGGCCCAAGGCAAGGTTGTCCACTCTCCCCATACATTTTCAATCCATGTAAGGAAAGACTGCGACTCTTGATTCGTGGAGTTGTGGAGGAGGGAAGATGAAGGCCAATTAGGCCTGCGAGTACAGAGCATGACTTGTCTCATTTATTCTTTGTTGACACTCTCATTCTCTTTGGAGTGGTTGATGATTCACAGGTACAGGTGATAAATGAGACGTTTGAAGTCTTTGGGGGAGGCATCTTGCCAATAGATTAACAAACCAAAATCGCGGGTATTCTTTTGAAAGAATGTGGAGGGTATCAAGGCCACAACACTTAGTAACATTTTGGGGATCCCGAAAACTAAAAACCTGGGAAGATATTTGGAGTCCTAGTAATTCATGACTGAATATCTAAAGCAACCTTCATGGGCCTAAACAACAAGGTTGACGCTCGCCTCACAGGGTGGGAAGTCTTGACTCTATCCCTGGCAGGATATATGACACTGGCTCAATCAACAGTGGAGTTCTTACCGGCATACATTATGCAGACTACTTTGTTACCGACTAGTGTATGGTACTATATATATATCATGGTTCAAAAATGCACGTTTAATCTTACGCTTAGACACTTCTAGGCGCAAGGCAATGGGAAAACGTCTCGCTTAGGTGTTTCGAGCCTAATTAGATACTGTAACACGTCAATATAGTAAGGCAACATATAAGTCTCTCCTAAACATTACTAGATGGAGCTAGAAAGTCAATATTAAAGGAGAAAATTTACGTCAACTACGAAATCAAATGTTCTTGGCATTAAGTGTTGAGTAAATTACTAATCATTTGAACTGAAGTGAGGAAGTGTTGTAGATTATTATTTCATTCATCATGTAGTGTAAATAACTACTTTTTCCTCCACGCTTAGGCGAACTAGGCGCTAGGCGAAGCCTCAACTCCCTCCTTACGCCTATCGCCTTTTTGAACCTTGATATATATATACTATACGTCTGACGTACACCAGTCATTACCATATATATATCAAACAGAAAATGAGAGCTTTTATCTTGGGAAGCTCTGAAGCAGGCCGCAAGATACATCTATTGGACTGGAACACGCTCTGTTGACCAAAAGAAGGAGGGTTGGGCATGCGGGATGCAACGAAGATGAATGATGCCTTCATGCTCAAAATTATGTTGCATTTATTGCTAAAGCTAAATAGTTTGTGGGCAAAATTATCCAGAGAAAATATATGAGAATTGAAGGGGGACTAGATCGACCCAGAACTTCAGGACAGTTGTCTAATCTTTGGCTTGACGTTCTCCGAGTTTTACACATCGTACCGAATGTAATCTTTGGAATATACACAGTGGCAGGCAAACCCGCTTGTGGCTGGATAGATGGCTTCATGATGGGCCACCACTTGCAGAATTGGCTTTTGGATTACCTTAGGAGGCGACGTTGCTTACGGTGGCGGAGAAGGTCCCGAATGAGGAGTGGAACTTGGACTATATCAAAGCTTTCCTTCCAACGGGTGTAGTGGAGCAGATTAAGCTTCATGACATCCCTCGTGAGGTTGCTTCTGACAAACCTATGTGGTTGTTTTCTTCCAATGGGTAGTTTTCTTTGAAAACCGCCTACGAGCTTATCAATGACGAGAATGAACCAGGTGGTTCACTCCTGGTATGGAGGACGGTCTGGCTAGCTCCAACAATATAGAGAATTCACACTTTCTTCTGGTTGTTGGTCCACGACAAGCTCCTAACCCATGCCGAGAGGCGGCGACGCCATTTAACAGGGTCAGATTTCTACCCGGTGTGTGGAGGCAACAGCGAGACGACCTTACATGTTCTGAGGGATTGTCCCTATCCCAGGAGTTCTGGTAGAGCTTCCTTGAAGAAGATTTAGATGAATCTTTCTTTTGAATAGATGCTAATGGGTGGGTGATGCACTACCTGACAGGGAGAATCCCAAGGGTGACTTTCGCATAGTTTGTCGGAGTATGCTGGTTGTTGTGGAAAAACAAAAATTCCTATGTGTTTGAAAAGAAGCTAGCTAATGTGCCCTCCCTTCAATTCAGTGCAGAGAGACTAAGTAACCAGATAGACGAAGCATTCTCGAATGAGAATATTACCCTGGGAATGGAGCATATGAAGAAATAGAAGCTGATTGGGTGGAAGGCATAACAATCAGGGTGGTGTTGCGTTAATACTGATGGCTCAGTTTCTTAGGTGCTTCAAAGTTTGACGGAACGAGGAGTTGTTCAAGTGACTCGGGCATGTTCAAGGGCACCTTTACGATGAATCTTGGTGGATGTTTGATTACACGGGCGGAGATGATGGGCATGTTACATGATTTGAGGTGTGTCTGGAACTAGAACCTAGGGGTTCGAAAGCTGGTGTTGCAGACAGACTCTCGCATAGCGATGGAGTTGGTACAGACGGTGATGCCTCCTCATCCTCACTACCAGCTGGCAAGGCATGTTTGGCAAATGTTGGAGCAAGATTGGGATGTTCGTCTCGAGCACATTTTTAGGGAGGGCAACGTCATTGCCAACTTTTTAGCTTCGACGGGTCATGTTACGACCAGGATTGTCCTTACCGTGTTGACCAACTAAGTGAGGTGTTTCATCTGGTCAGCTTACCACAAGAGTGATAAAAGGGGCGACTATAGTGTTAGGTCGTTGTCTGCCCATGCATCATTCTGGCTGAGTCAGACATGCTGACCCGGTTTAGTCCGGGGAACTTATCATTAGATGAGGACTTGACTATGAAGGGGATCGTTGCGAGAGATGATACAACTGGTTGGAGGCTATTGTCGCCTCCCTAATAAGCCCAAGGCCGGGGGAAACCAGTTGGCATGTGTATGTGAGAAAGGCTAGTCTCGATACTGTGAGAGCCTCAACATGCTGCACGGGTTTCAGAAGTCTTACCACGTGACAAAGTGGTATCAAAACCGAAACATCTCTCAATACAGTATGTTGTGGGGGTGTCATATCCTACCGAGTTCGATGAGAGCGGAGAGTGATCGTTGGTGCAAGGGTGGACACAGACAAGGTGCGGCTCCTTTCATGATCCGGCTCTATGCTGGAATGAGAGGTGGTCCAAGAGTTGTGAGTAGTGATGGCAATGGGGCGGGGCGGGATGGGTACCCGAATACCCATGCCCCGCTCCACTCTACTACAAGTCAGGGCGGGTAAAACCCGCGCGGGTACAGGGCACGGTTGGTCGACCCACTCTTACATGTTATCAGAAAAAATACACGCAAATTTTGCTTTTTACAATAAAACGAAAAGAAAAACATTTTATGAATGAAAAATAGTGATAATAGAACAGGTAATTGAGTGTAACAAGTTGAAATATCGACTCTAACTAGTTGAAGAAAAGTCAAAATAGGAGAAATGTGTATAGATACTATAAGAAATTGAGATAGAATGAGTAAAAAATGTGGCAAGACAAGGCGGGTCGCAAGTGGATACCCATGCCCCTTCGCCACGCTACTGCAGGTCGAGTGATACCCGCCCCATCACGGGTCAGGGCCGGTTCAAATTGCCATCACTAGTTGCGAGATCAGTTGATCCGGAATGTGGACACACTAGTATTGCCACTATTATTAGCTCTACCTATGCGAGGTGTTGAGCTTGGGTCATCGTGGGTCATCGTGATGACCATCGATATGCGAAGAGATGCCGCGCCTGCACGAATACTGTTTGACCGAGGTACTAATGCCAGGAAGCGTGGAGAGGGAAGGTTCAGTTTGATTGGTGATAAGGTATGTGCACAGGGCACTGTAGGCTAGCATGAGGAGCGCAAATGAAGTGTGTGTCCATCAAGGGATGGTGTCTTATGTTAATGGTCACGATCGTTTTGTATGTGTGCCGCAGTACATGGTGCAGAAAGAAGCATTCTTTCTTAGCACGAGGGTGTGCTATGTTTTAAGTGGGGAGAATGTCACGACCTGAATTGCCGTGCCCATGTTGACCAACTAAGTAAGGCGTGCCATCTGGTTAGCGTGCCACAACATAGGCAAAGGGGGTGAATGTAGCATTAGGGCGTTGTTTGCATCGTTCTAGCCGAGTAAGACATGCCGACCGAGTTTAGTCCGGGAAGTTTGTCGCTAGTCGAGGACTTGACTATGAAGAAGATCATTATGAGAGAGAACAACTAGTCGGGGCTATTGTCGCCTCCCTGATGAGCACAAGGTAGGGCGCAACCAGTTGGCATGCGTATGTAGGAAAGACTAATAACAAGTTTGCAAAAGCCTCAAGACGTCGCATGGCTTCGGAAGTCGTGACAGACTGACAGTCACCACATGCCCTTGGGTTCCCATTCAATCCCAATCCCGATCCCGAGCACACTGCTCCATTACTTGTTGATGTACGACTTGGTTGGGAGTAATACTCCCCATCACTCCTCTTGATTTGTAAGGTTGGGTGCCCTTTGCTCCCGTTGTTTACCGTAATAAAATAAAGAGGGGAGATCACAGCTATACTAGTAGCCGCCGCAAAGTTGCTCCGTTGCCATCGCAAGCTGCTGCATCCAGTTACTGGACTAAGTAAACAAACATCACATATGAACTGCAACAATTAAAAGAAACACAAGACGAATTCATTCTCAATGGCATTAGGTACAAGCAGAAATCCAAGTACTACAACGGATATCAGTTTGAGGTGTGTGCAAGCAAGCGTGTAAGAGAGAGAGTCGATGAGAAGAAAAATCAAAGCCTACAAACAGCAGAAACCAGAAAAATCAAACTCTGCACAAATCAAATAAACCCAACTCTGCACAAATCAAATAACACTACGAAAATGAACCGACGGCCACAAATCTCAACCGCGGGACCGTTGCTGCTTGCTCCCGGAGAGGCTAAAGGAGCTGACTTTCATTGGCGTCGCCACAACCAAAGGAGCCTCGGGGGAGTTGCTGACGGCGTAGTTGTCGTGCATGAACCGGCTCTCCACGATCGACTCGTCCTTCAGCACAATCTTGTAGCAGTAGCAGCTCTTCAGGCCCTGCTGATTCTTGTAGCAGTGGTGTCCACTGTTCTTCACCTGCTGAAAGTCCCATATCACGCTGAACTTCCCCACCGTTGCCACGATGTGGCGCTCTTGTCTACCATTTTCAGTCACCTGAAAACAAAATAAAAAAAGGAACAAGAAACGTTACTAACTTCAGCCACACATCCAAGATTACATCATAAGCACCCCAAATGCTAGTCTGACGTTTATAAAGGTTACAAGGCTGGAGAAGTATGAAAAGCTATTCATCATGTCAACACAGGAGAGGACTACGAAAAGGGATTTCTTGGGGATACTTGTACCAGTCATCCTTTCATCAACTAATTGCACCAAACAGTGACCACATGCCATCTTTGCTCACAAACAGAAACTCAATATAATGCCATGATTTAGAACTTGGATCACGATACTCGGACAGCATCAATCTTTTACTGAAAGGAAGGAAAGCATTGATCGAAATAATAAACAAATCTTAAACCTGGAGACTTGGTAGCATTTGAACTCTAATCAAAAGAGACGAACAGGCATTGCCAAATACAAAAAAACAGTAAATGGCACATAGAAAAACAACACGAAAGGCAAATCAAACTACAATCAAGTCTAAGTCCTTACCCATGAGAAATGACCGCCATGGAACTTGTTATTGCCACCAGCCAAATGCGAATCCAGTGGAATCAACTTCAACAATCTAGGAGCTGGTATTTTATTCCCCATTCGACCACCGAATCCAGTCTTAGTCTTACCGTCCTTGTCGGTAAACAGAGTGCAAATGAGAATCAAGTATGTATCAGTAGTCCCTAGCACCCATTTCCCATCATAAGTAACATCCACATGAGTGATGGGCGAACCAAGACCCGGGAAAGCTGTCTTAGCCTGTCTCAGTGATCTCCTTGAGTACAACCTAATCTTCCCATCCAGTGACCCAACAACAATGGATCCATCACCAGTACTCGCAAAGCATTGGAAATTAGTACCTCTCGAGAACTGATGCCCTTCACTCCATTGCAGAACAGGCGAATCGCTGGCTTTAGCGATATCCTGCACAATCCCACTCTTATCCCTCATATCCCATTGACACAACCTGTTATCATCCAACCCCAAGAATGTACTCTCTGAGGGATCCAACTGAGACGCTTTGTTATCATTTGTGATATCCCTCATTGTAATCTCTGTCCCATCTTTCTCAAACTTCCACTCTGTCACAATCTTCCCTGTTTCTATATCAAGCTGTCTGATCCCTGTGGAATGGGGTTTGCCTTCCTTCATGGGACTCATAAGCATCATATTCGTTTCAGCTCTCATGAGCATCCCCTTCTTCGGATTAGATTTCGTCAAACTAGATCCACTGTTTCTGTGATCAAAGCTCACACAAATGCCCTTGCCATGGATGCCCTTTTGATTGTTCCTGTAAACCTGAACACCCAGATCGCTGACAAGGAAACTGTTGTCCAGGGCACCCAGAGTCAAGCTATGGACGCCACCATTAGCTGCCTCCTCGAATTCCTCCATCAAATCTTGATTCGCACGCAACGGCGAGAACTTCTCTTCTCCGGCAGCATCGCCGCCTTCCGCGTCCTCCCACATCGAATCGTCGGCAGTTTCCGGTTTCGCCCAGCCGATGAAGTCCTTCCCATAGACCTTCACCTTACTCTCCTCGGTGGCTTTAAGCCCGTACACATTCTCGAACAAGCAATCGTTGTACTCGTTAACGAATTTCCTGAACTCTTCATCAGTGGAGAATCGCAACGCCCAGACACCACTATCGACGAAATCGACCCTCCTCTGATCCGCAAACATCTTCAATTGCATCTCCGTCGAAACCCTAGCTCTAACTTTCGCCCCGACCCGGAGAATCCACAACGAATTATTACCTCCACCGCTGGAAGATCCTCCTTCGTCCTCATCGGAATCCCCTCCGCCGCCGATCTCGGAGCTCCTGACGAAGGCGTACGAAGCCGACTTCTCGGAGACGATCCACTTAGCCTTGGGACTGTTTCCACCTATGTGGAGGTACAGCTTGACGCGACGGTCGCCACCGCCCTGAGAGGCATCGCCGTATTTGAGCTTCAGCGATTTCAATTTGGTGTCGATGTCGTCGATTGTCCGGTTGGAAGAAGTCGTTTGAGGCGTCTCTTGGCGCTCGACAGCGTCGTAGTGAACCTCCTCGTACTCTTCTTCTTCTTCTTCGTCGCGATCCTCTGTTTCGGAGTGGTAGTCGTCGGAGTCGGAGAGGTCTGATCCTTCGCGGCTATGAGAAGTTCCCATGGCGGAGATTGTACGGAAGACGCAGACAAAGTGGGAATTGTTCTGCGAGCTCGTTAAGATTTTCTGTGTCGATCGTTTTCGCAAAATGGAAAAAGTTTGCCTGAAATTTCAAGAAGTGCGTGGTTCTGAAAAGGGAAGAGGGAGGAAGGTGGGGACGGGGACTAGGCTGTTATATATACACGGAAATTCACGTGGAAGACTGTTGGTACTTGGTAGCCGGTTTCCCAGGCTAGTGGCTAGTTTTTCTAATTATTGCAGATATGCCCCTAGGCTTCCTTATATTTGTTACCACCTACTAGTAACTAAATCATACAAAATTATAAATAAAACATTAGAGTCGCCTTTACGTCGACAAAAGAGGGATAAGAGAGACAGATTTGTGCATCATGAGCGTTGAAATTTAGCATTTATAGTTTTGAAGTCCATGACTAGCCACTCTATCAAATCCTTGTAGGTTGTAAATTTGAGTTCGTGATCATTTCAGTCTCATAACAAAAGAAATTCTTATTTTTACTTTGTATCATTTCAGTCTCATAACACCAACAATTCATCACTCGAGTACCACAAATAGTCACCTTTGGATTCATTTTCGAATTCCCTTCTTCTCTAGTTAGAATCTCGTTCGTATGTTTTAATTTTCACTTGCATAATCGAGAATAAATTTATCTCATAGACGACAGTTTGTCAATGAGGGCATTGTGAAGCTTAAATATCTTTTCCTATTTACAGCTAAAGAAAAATATGCCTGAGGGGCCAGTAAAAAATAATTCCAAACGAATGAACCCCTTAATTTCGGGTTCAAACTTCAAACCATGATTGATTCTTTGAATTTTAAGCACAAATGGCCAACTGATGAAAAAGATAAAGTAAGAAAGAACGGGGGCCAAAAAGTGAAGAGAAAAAGGAAAAAGGAGCGGCAATAGGTACATAACTGCAAAAAGACATCTCAGGGGAGCTTCACTTATCCCACGGCATGGTCACCGGCTATTCCCGGTTCAAGCAGCGTCAAAACGACGCCCCCGCCTCTTGCTTCATACTCAAGCAAACGGTTGCTGCTGTCCCACCCACGTGTTAACACCGTGTTTGGATGGCGCGGTATAATAATACTCACTAACGGACACATAAAAGACGCGGGTAAAAATAGAAAGCATTTTACAACACAACATTTCTACATCCCGAAACATAATGACCACATTCTTTGGTTAAGCTTACAACCAGCACAAAGTACACCATTTACATATAGTCCATAGAGCCAAGCTTTAAAACTGGAGCTACTCCAAACATGTCTTATCTTCTCTCACAAGGCATCCCGGGACGCTATTCGGCATGTAATGGCATCAGCAAGCGAGGAAATCCCTAGCTCCATCCCAGAGATTTTGAAATGCTGAAACAGCATAATACCAGACAATCCTATGGTTACTACCAGTAGCTTGAAAGCAACAATATTGTTCTATATGTTCCCATTGAGAGCCAAAGCACCAAGTTTGTAAACCAAACCTTCAATATTTGAGCTTGATTTGCTCTGCTCTCCAACTCCTCTAACTTGACCTCTTTACCGTTGATAAGCTTCTCCACCATTTTCATCTAAAGAGCGATGCAGTAACATTTGAGTATGGTTGTGATCTTTGTGGCTTGAAACCTATGAATCTCAAAGGCGATTCACTATATTAATGTTCTTAGAAAAGAGGAAAGCTTACATCTTCTGGTGTTGCATTGAAGCGAGCTGCCAGGACGTACGTACAGCTGTCTGAGATACCACATCGTTTCAAGGATTCTGTAATCTGGTACAATCAAGTATGTAGCACATATTAAATCCACTGATTAATTGGAGCTTCGAACTAGGGAAATTTAGACAAAACACATAGTTATGTAACTAGGGCTTGGGGATTTACATGCTTGGATCCCGAATAATTGTAGACAAGCTCAGAATGAAGAGTCCGTGTTGTCAATGAATCCCGAGACTTCGAAACAAGCGCCCTGTGTGCTGCAGCGAGAACAGGGAAAACATCTGGGATCTGCCATAAAGGAATGCAATCGATCAGAAAAGTCTGCTTGTTCAAAAAAGGAAGAAAGACGGTTTAGAAAGAGTATTTGGACGAGAAATCTAAAGGGCAACTCTGTTGAAGGTTTGTCTAAAAGAAGCATACAAGTAATGCATTCATAAAGGCAACTTCCAGCTCCAGATTCCCGGCTTGCATAGAATGAAGAAGCTCCCTGCAGCATAAGAGTCATGCAGTGAGCTTAAGGGCAAGGTCGTACAAACTCTAGTAACTATCTGTTATACATAACTTCGCAGTTGCCGAACATATGTACATGTGAAATAAAACTTGGCAATTATAAAAAAAATGCAGAAGGTGCAGAGTCTGAGCAATGGAGGAAGATCAAGTTTCTCTTCCAGGGACATGAAACTGCAACTTTCTTCTGTGCTCGAGACTGCTAGATATGGAAACCAATTGGGGCATTGCTCTTATTGCTCAGGTAGCTGAGAGAAGTCCATATCTTGGGTAGGGTCAATCAAAATTGTCCTTTCTAATTCCAATTACAAGGCAATCTTCCACAGTTCTAGCACGCCACAGGAAACTTCTTTTTGTTCATTCCAACAAATAAGTGAATTTTCCTCCTTAATCACAAGGAACAGTAGCAAGCTCCAAAATCCTCATTGGTTACTACAAAACTTCAGCACATCCTGTAACTCATTTAGTGCTTCAAGCCTTCAACCAGCTAGAACATTTCCAAAAGCAATTTCCATACGCAGCAACCAAAAACAAAGAAATAGAGGAAATGAAAGAGAGGAATTGTTACTTGGAGTTGGCGACTTCGGCGAAGAGGGCGATGGAAAGAGTGTTGTTTCCGTCGATTTGGAAGACCTTCATGCTTGAGTTTGCTACTTTCAAACTCCACTTCAGCTCTTCAAGTTACACTCTGAGAAATCAGAGGTGCGTTCGATGCGCTCTCCGGAAGGATTTAAAGAGAAGACCGAAGATGCCGAGAATGGAGCCGAGCCGCCGAATGGTTGAACCTATGACGGTGACGATGTGTTCTGCTTGGTGGCCGGCGACCACTGATGGAATGAGTACCGGGTGGATAGAGGAGTAGCAGTTAGGGCTCAAAATAGGTTCTTTAAGTAGGCCTAGCTACGCTGTCCTTAGGCCCATTAAATTTTTCCAAACATAGCCAAATTAAGGCCCTGATGATCCAATACACCTCCCATAATGCATCCGTGTTGGAACTTCGGGTGTTGAAATGAATTGGTTAACGTGATAACTATATTAATCAATAGTATTTCAATATTTTAAATTTTAAATTTGAATATTTTGTTTGAGTTGGTTAATTTTTTTTATTTAACTGATTAACAAATATTTTTTTATTTAACGGATTGGTCTGCTAATCAATTAGAAAATTAGTCATGTATGAATACCTAATAACTTGCCTAACCATTCAAAATTCAAAATTTTATTCCTTTTAGATCCATAAGAAAATAAACTCGTAATTGTTCTTATACTATTTTTGTTTTTTTAAAGCGTGAACAATAATATATGAACTCCTAATTTAGATAAAGATCATACATCAAGTTGGATGAAAACCTAAAAGGAAATGATTTTTTAGCATATGATAACTAATAAGAGACTAAGACAACAATTCATACGTGCATGCCCAATTTATTACCCCATACCATTGGTATATTTTTTTGTTAAGGGGTTACTTATAATTATTGTAAGATAATAATGTAAGTTGCATGTATTTATGTTAATAGGTAACTATGAGTTTGATTGTTATATTTTTGTTGGGAGTGTTCAATGTTCAAGAAGACGCTGGGCGCCATCTAGGCGAGGAGGCGCCGCCCAGCGCCCAGGCCGATTAGTCGCTGCCTAGGCGAGATTAAACGTAAAAAAAAAATGTGATAGATATTAAAGTTTAGCATGCAAGATCAAACATAACAGTCATAAGTTCACTGATTTGCAGTTCTGCAACTGACAATATCCAAGATAACAATCATTCAAGTTCTCCCATAGAAGGAAACAAACATAATAAAACATGACAAATGTAAAGATAAGCCATAAAGGCGATGACAAGCTAATAAACTCCAAGTTGATCACTCGTCATCTTCATCCATATTGTTCCTGTTAGCCACAACATCCTCCTCATCCTCTTCGAAATGAATGGCTTCACTTTCCTCATCATCATATTCTTCATCTTCTTCTTCAGAATCAAACTCCTCATCAGCAAGGTCTCTCACTAATCTGGCACTCCTACGAGGTTCAAGATTCTCAGTAGCTCCCCTTGCCTCATCAATAACATTCCATGGAATGCCATCGAAACCTTCATCATCTTCATCACCAAACACATGCAAAGTGTGTCTATCTCCTCCCTCAAATAGAAAGCCTTGTGCTTCAATTGAATCAGAACTTATGAGAACATCAATATTCTTCCTCTCCTTTATCTTCCTTTGCTTGGATATCAATCTAGAGTTGAACTGGATGTACACTAGTTGATTCATGCGATTTGTAGTAAGCCTATTCCTTCTCTTAGTATGAATCTGCAAGGACAATTGATTATATAAGTTTGCATCTAATATCTCCTTTGACTATATAGCATATGGATACGAAAACTACTAACCGACTCAAAAGTACTCCAGTTTCTCTCACAAGCAGAAGAACTTGAGGTCAATGACAGAAACCTTATAGCCATCTTTTGCAAATGCGGTGTCTCACCTCCATACATTCTCCACCAAGCCACTAAGGAATTAATTAATTCTAATTTAGTTAATGAAGTTAAATCATAAGTTACAAGGAAATGAAGAAAGAAGTACTAACCAGGATTGTAGTCAAAGTTTACACAATTCTTTGCCATCTTCTTTCCAAAGAGTCCTTGTTTCCTTTGAAATTTTGTGAACTCAATGTTCACCACTTCATCATGTATATCCTCATCACAACCATGGTAGAACTGCTCAACACAAGTGAGCAATGCTGTTGTAATGTCGGCATTGTCAAATATTGACGAGTCGGCATAACTGTAGTGAGGATTAAGAAGATATGCCGTTAGATGCAATGGAGCATCAAGTCGGCCTCTCATCTTCTTCTCCACAATAGCAATGACTTCTTTGTAACGAAGTTCTTCATTCTTAAACGCCTCCTTTATCTCTCTCTTTGCCTTCAAAAGTTCACCATACACGAAACCCATAGAAGGTTTCACATCCCCATCCACTAATCGAAGCAATTTCACCAATGGCTCAAAGACTTTCAAGCATTGTTCCACACCATTCCAAAATCTAACACTAAGAATCGTGTCATAAGCCTCCTTGCCTTTCTTTGAACTCGTCTCCTTAATGTTTTCCCACTTCGCATCCACCACCATCTTCCTCAAAGAATCTTTCTTATCCAATAAGCTTTGCAAAGTAAGAAATTGAGAAGCAAATCGAGTCACACCTGGTCGGATGATCTCTCTCTTCTTGGTGAAGGATCTCATGCATTCCAAGGTGCGGTGGTGGCCATATACGAAGATGGTGAAAGCCTTAACTTGATCTACAATCTTCTTGAACCTTGGTATGTTGCCGATTCCTTGGAGCATCAAATTGATGGTGTGAGTTGCACAAGAACTCCAAAATATGTTTGGCCTCTTCTCCAACAAGAGGGCCTTTGCTGCCATATTGTTGGAAGCATTGTCTGTCACCACTTGCACCACATGTTCAGCTCCAACTTCCTCGATTGCATTGTCAACTAGCTCAAAGATGACTTCACCTGTGTGAGAAATCGCTGATGTGTCCTTAGACTTTATAAAACTAGTTCCCTCAGCACAGTGTGTAACTATGTTCATGATGCTTCTCCTCTTCATGTCCGTCCAAGCATCAGCCATTATAGAGCAGCCATTCTTTTCCTTCTCCGCCTCTCGATCACTTAACAAGCTCTTAGTCCTTGCATACTCAGCTTTCAACAAAGGCTCTCAAAGCTCGTACTGTGTTGGAGGCTTTAATCCAGGACCAAATTGACCAATGGCCTCAACCATTTGCTTGAATTCATCATTGTCAATGGAATTGAATGCAATAGCTACAAAATAAAATTAGGGCTAAATTAGAAAAATTAACTTGTGCATCTAAGAAAGAATTAAAGGATATAGCTATGCACTAACCATGTGTGTACACCCATTTTGCAATATATTGCTGGACTTGAAGTGTCCTCTCATTAAAAAGTGCTTGATTTATCTTTTGTTGCTGAAATGATGCACTTGAAGACAAGCTAGGATCAATGGCACGTGTCCACTTGTCTATAGGACCTAACTTGTGAGGTTCAGAGCTACCTGCACAAGTAAGGTCTTCTTGTTGTCCACCGGAGGAGACTTGAACATCATCTCTCAAACCTAGCTCACGAACAACCTTGTCCTTCTTTTTCTTTTCTGTTCCCTCCAACCATTTCAAGCATGCTAGTTTAGCTTCATTGGGGCAACTCCTACACTTTGAAACTCCGCCGCCAACTTGAGCAATGTGTTTCTTGAAACGGTTAATTCCCCCCGAGTTTATATTCTTGCAAAAGTTACACATGACTCTATCCTTGTTGTTCGGATCGACCAAATGTCCATATTCCCAACCAATATCATCAGACTTCCTCTTCAATGAATTAGCATTATCAATCGTTGAAGCAGTGTTAGCACCCTCTGCCTCCATTTATCAAATCAGTAGGAGACCCTGCAAATCACAATCGCACAAACAAACAAAATTGGGAGTCAAACCATTCTGCCTCCATATATATATATCAATATATTCCCACACCATTCTGCCCACCACATATATATCAATTCATTCTCAATTCTCAAAACATCCAAACAAGTTTGGTACACGCGTAGTGGAGAACAAAAGCAAAGAAAAATTAAACAAAGCAACTCTGCCACCACATATGACAGAAGAATAAATCCCAAATCATTCGACATTTCTCACCGTCTCACCTGGCCGCCGACCCGCTGTGGTTTATTGATGATGGCGACCGGCGAGAGAAGGCGAGGATGACCGACGAGGACGAAGGCGTGAACGATCGGCGAGGGCGAAAGCTAGAACAGCGCTGGTCGATGGAGAGTATGGCGGCGAGCCGGCGAGGACGAAGCGAGAACGGTGATGGTCGACGGCGAGGATGGCGGCGAGTCTGGCGGCGCGGCTGGTCTATCGCGTTGAGGAGGGCGCTGGTTGCTCGTTGCGGCGGCTGCTCTCTTTTTTGCTGAAAATGTCAAATGAAGGGTTTTGGTTAAAGGAGAACAGCTTCCCCTTTATTTCCAACCCTAGGCGTCGCCGACATATGGGAAACGTGATTCCCAGCGACTAATCGCCGCCTAGGCGTTTTACTGCGCGATTCCGCGTTTTCTGCGTCCAGGTAAGTCGCCCAGCCCAATACTCCACGTTTCCTCCATGCCCAGCGCCTAATCGCGCCTAGGCGCGTCTTCTTGAACACTGGGAGTGTTACTAAATGCTGAACTCAAAGACTAAGTAGTAGCGCGCCCAATCAGTGACGCACGACACTCGATACCTGCTCCGGGTATATAAGGGCTTGAAGCCCTCCAAAGAAAGGGGACTCAACTTCTCCTCCCTCACTTTCCACTTTGACTCTCCCTCTACATTGTTCTCTCAACTTATTCTAAATCACATGTCCTATGTCAGTGTTTAAGACCCCTAAGAGAATTTTAACGAAAATTAAAGGCCTTTTTATCGGTTTTGGTGGGGGGATGAAAGGAGAAATGAAGAAAATGTAGTGGACAAGTTGGGACAAGATGTGTGATGCTAAAGAGGAGGGTGGACTTGCTTCTAGGGACCTGAGAGCTTCCTACAAATCAATCCTAACAAGAAAATTTTGGAGAATCATTCAATCTCCCCATACTCTCATGGCAAGAATCTTGATCTAACTCTATTATTTTACAGGGTTGGAAGACATTCCAATCTTTGTTATGTTTGGCGGAGTTTGCTGGGAGCTCGTGAACTTATTAGTGAAGGCTCATGATGGCGGGTAGGAGATGGTAGGGAGATCATGATATGGAATGAGAAGTGGATCCCTTACAGAGGTAACTTCATACCTTATATCCCTGGGCGGTTTTATTGATCCATCAGCCACAATGGACTCTTTGATCGATAAAGAGGCAGCATGTTGGAAAGTTGAGAAAATCAGGGAGCTTTTCACGGAGGAGGATGCCAACTTCATTATTAAAATTCCTTTGAAACGTGGTTTAAAGGAGGACGCATTTGTTTGGTCTAATACAAACAATGGTTCCTTCACGGTTAAATTAAGGTTATGGCTCTACAGGAAGATGAAAGGAAATTTCGTCAATAGACAACAGAGGGGAGGTAGACCTTCCCAGGAGAAGGTTTTTGGAAAAAAATGTAGAAGTTACATATTAATGTTTTTGTTTTTTTTTTAGAATGGCTAAGGGAATTCTGCCAATTGTAGCTAACTTGGACAAAAGAATTAGTGAGATTAGTGATGCATGTCTCTTATGCAACTTAAAAAGTATCTCAATATCATGTCTTCAAGGAGTGTGCCTGAAATTGTTGAATCTGGAGGCCCACCCTCGAGGTGGACTGCTTTGAAGCTGGGAGAAGGCTTGAGTCGTGATTGATGGTTGGAAGTTGTCTTTGGTCATTTTTCTATGGAAACGGATTGTGCGAGTTTGGTTAAGAAACTCTAACAAGAGGTCAGGGGTGATAAGAGGTGAGAATTATGTTAAAGTCACTAGGATAATAGTCTAATTCCTTCCTCACTGACTACGCAATGAAGATGGAAAAAAGTTTCACATCGTATAAATAAATAAATATATCATAATCTTCCATGAATTCATAAGAATATACAAAGTCTATCCACTTACTTTCATCTTTAAACATTAAAGATGAAAGTAAGTGGATAGACTTTGTATATTCTTATGAATTCATGGAAGATTATGATATATTTATTTATAGGATATTTTTTGCTAATTGGGACACGCGAGCATAGATGATATGGTCTAATCCAATTCAAAACCAAATTGAAAATGAACATGACTAATAAACAAAAAGTGAGAACCAAAATAGGCTAAAATAGTATTTACTTCTATATGATCCATTTCCAATTAATTTTCCCTCATCTTTTCTTTACCCGTCGTTGACCCAAAATTCAAACCAAGAGTTTGGTGGACATTCTCATCTCTACATTACTATTAGGCCAATCCTTCAAAAAAAAATTGCCTCTATTTTAAGAGAGTTCATAAGATCAAAATTAAACATTAGTATATTTAATTCGATCTAAATGATTGAGTCTGATACCAGATCGATACCCACACATGTGCATCACAAGAGTACACATTGGCAGTATTGACTATCGCATTCGCAATTGGATAAAAATTGTGAGAAGGTTAAAAGACCAAATATTCTTTTGTGAAAATGAGATTTGGTCAATATGTGCATAAAATCTCTATGAACTTTCAGCCATCTCACTATCTCTATGCATAGCCATGTACGTGTCAACCCTCTTTTGCCTCAACCCACCACTCTCCCAATTCATCCCCTCTCTCTTCCAAACAAACATTTTGGGGACAACAAAATATGTCTCCTTCCATCTTCCTCTCGTGGCTTGTTAGCATTCCCATCCTCGCTGCCATTTCTTCTTCTGCAGCTCCTATTGCTGTTCCAGGCCCTAAAGGTTGTACTAAATTTTCTTGTAAACTCCATTCACAAATCTGCTTTCTAACTACAATTTCTTCTTTTGAAATGATGGTGTTGGACAGGTTTCCCATTAAATTGCGGAGGAACCGACGAAGTAACGCTTGGCAATGAAAAGTACATCCCGGACGACGGATTCATCCTCACCGGAACCAAAGGCACCGTCAAAACCCCTGGCATACTTCCGATCCTCTCCACCCTCCGATTCTTCCCGGATGGCCAAGCTCGTAAATACTGCTACGCGTTCCAGGTCACCAAAGGTGGGAAGTACCTGGTGAGGACAATCTACTACTACGGCGGCTTTGACGGAGGGAAAGAGCCCCCGGTGTTTGATCAAATCGTTCAAGGGACCAAATGGGCCACCGTCAACACCACCGAGGATTACGCCAAGGGTCAGACCACTTATTACGAGATCATCGTCGTCTCTCCCACCAAGACCTTAAATGTATGCCTCGCCCGGAACAAGAATACCACCTCATACCCTTTCATCTCCGCAATGGTGGTTCAATCGCTCGAGAATTCCATGTACAATTCCAGCGATTTCACCAAATACGCGCTCACCACCGTGGCCAGAAACTACTTCGGACAAGAGGGCGGGGCGATTAGGTAAAAGAAATTACAATTGGTTTGTTTTTCATGGTGAGGATTGGTGTTACCGAGTTCCCTGTTTCCCCTATTTCTTTTGGTGTAGCTTTCCGGACGACCAATACTACCGGTTGTGGGAGCCATTTCACGACAAGAACCAACCGACGGTGGAGAGCAAGTCAAATGTGACATCATCAGACTTTTGGAACTTCCCGCCAGCGAAAGCGTTCACTAGAGGGTTCACCACCAGCCGAGGCAAGACGATTAGGTTCCAGTGGCCACCGATGTCGGTTCCGGCCACCAAGTACTACGTGGCAATGTACTTCCAGGACAACAGGACACCCAGCCCTTATAGCTGGAGGGTGTTCAGCGTCACATTGAACGGACTGTTGTTCTACAAAGATCTTAACGTGACGGAGAAAGGCGTGACAGTTTATGCATCGGAATGGCCCCTCTCCGGCGTCACCGAGCTAATGTTGACTCCGGCTGATGACATGCCCGTTGGGCCGGTGATCAATGCCGCCGAGGTCCTCCAACTTTTGCCCTATGGTTCGAGGACACAAACCAGAGATGGTTCGTACAAAGATCATTCATTTTTCTACCATCTTCTAGTTAGAATGGAATTTGTAATTTGTTCCTCAACCTCATCGTTGTTGATGGTTTCATTCCCAGTGATTGCCATGGAAGCTTTGGGTAGTAGCTTTGACGACCCGCCCGCAGACTGGGTTGGTGATCCTTGTTTGCCTCCAGAGAACTCTTGGACCGGAGTTACTTGCACTCATGAGTTAATGGCTAGAGTTCAGAAGATGTAAGTTTCAATAGAGTAAATTCTCAATTCTAGGGTAAATGGTTAACATTGCTGCTTCAAATCTTGAAACTATTTGTGACAGAGAACTTAGAAACAAAGGATTAGCTGGCTCTATATCTCCAAGCATTGCAAACTTGACTGCACTCACCTCTATGTAAGCACCCTTCCTCTTTCTTATTTTGCTGCATGTTTAACAATTTCCAACTTGATTGTTGAAAAAGTAATGCTTATTCTTCGACGATCATATTTATGATCGGATAATCGGGGTATAAAGGAATGATCATCATTTACTCTTGCGCTCCATGAACATCACAACTATTTGAGTGTGAATTGGACGATTAAAAAGGTGTAAACATCTAAGATGAATAATGTTGCGTTTTATTGGATGAATATTTGTTTGTAGTTCTTTAGGAGGGAACAAGCTTACTGGTGAAATCCCTGATATGGGTTCATTGAAGGATCTGCAATATTTGTATGTTACTCTCCCGAACTTTTTATTGATCTCTCTTTTCCTTTTCCTTGTTCTCACTATCAAAGATGTCTATGTTCTTGGTACAGGCATTTGGAAAACAACCAACTTGAAGGGTTGATACCTCAGTCTTTAGGGCAGTTGAAGAGGATTCAAGAGATGTAATTAGTTGGAGCATTGCTTCCAATTTGATCTTTTCTTTATCAATCAGATTTTAATAACCAAAACTCCTAACATTTTGCTTTGTATGAAACAGATACCTGCAGAACAACAATTTACGCGGCAAGATCCCAGGCTCGCTACAGAATAAACCTGGACTAACCCTTCAGTATGAAAACACCTGCATTGACATTTTTATAGAATTTTTGTTGTCTGTGCGTTACTTGTTTGTTTATACGGGTTTCTGATTAACTATTGGATGGTGTTTTGGTTTTAGGGTGTCTCCTGGGAATGACATTTCTAATTGAGTTGGCTGACCACTTTGCACATACACAAGTGCGGGAAGAAGAACTAAAGGAGAGCGAGTGATGAGAAGAAGTCTTTTGGCTAAGCCCTTGGGAGTTACATGCACCAAGCTCAAAAGATGATATGTGAGAAAAGTTTTTTGAGATCTTGAGTGTGTGTACACACAAAATGTAATTACTCAAATGTGAATATTTTGATTGTGATTTCACTACAGAAATGAAGTGGCACTGCTCAAATCCTTGAATTTGGAGACCTAGCTAGTATGGCTAGCCTGTTCTATTACATCAAACTAGATAAGTTCGCTTGGTTGTGCCTCGCCGTGAGTGGATAAATGCATGGAATAATTAATAAAATGTAACTCGTAAGACATAACAAAAAAACCTGCAAGAAAAATCACAAAAATATCCTAGGAGAACCTCATAGCAATTTGCACTCGTTGGCTGACAATGTTACAGATCAGAGGAATACGATCTACCTACTATCGAGTAAGAACCTGTTCAAGTTGGAATTTTACAAATCACAACTATTAGTTAGAAATTTATAAAGTTTATACGTCTGAAATGGAAAGAACAAGAGATAATTTATTATGCATCTTTTTCAACTGAAGAAACAAAAGGATGAACTTAGAATTAACGTATGACTTTAATTTGATATAATAATATAATAAAAATGAGAATATGAGGAAAAAATCCACCAGGAGAAAGACTAAAAAACATAACATATGGTTCCATTATTTTGTATGCCACTTTCGTTCTCTTCGATCGGGTGGGAGATTTCCCCTTTGTCTTTCTATTCAAAACTGAGCGAGAGATATGAGTAACGATGCAAAAATTAAAACGAACAAAGATAAAAGTTCTAGTATAGGAAAAACTAAAGGATTTAATTAAGAAAATGGGTCACTTAGAGATTCCCATATGTTACCAAAACAAATGAAACAAAATATGCGGCATCTTTGAAAAATAAGGCAAGAGGTAAAAATCAATAAACATAAAGGAAAATTATGCAAAATATTTGGCATGTTGAAGAAATATCACTAAAGTTGAAGTTATTTACTGTTTTACCTGTTAATGAATAGTAAACTTAGAACTCATCTTTTTATATACAAGCTAGATAAGCGCGCTCACTATGCTTCGCTTTAATTGGATATTGAAATGGCAAAATACATTCTCAGAGAAATTATAAGTTGATAAAGCTTGCAAAACATATCACAATGAGACTCATTTTTAGGAGAAGGGTGATATAATCAAAGCTTTGAAGTACTCAGTAAAGCAAATAGTTACTTTTTTCAAATAAAGAACATCGAATACTAGCAAAGCAAGAGTATGAGTGCACAAAGAGCAAAGCTCAATAGGGAGTTGATAGTAACCAGCAGAGGATACAGGGGACATCACTGAGCCCGGGCTCAACCCTCCAATTGATTCAGTTATTATCTACAACCCTTCTCACCTTTTCGGTTAGTATAATCAGCACATGGTCCAACCCCATCTTTCTTCGCCTATGAGTAGGGGTGGGAAACGGGACGGGACGAGATACCCATCCCGTTTGAAACGGATACCCAATCCCATTTGGAGAGCAATCTCCATCCCATATCCAAAATCCGTACGGGTTAACGGGTACCCATTACCCGTACGGGACGGATAACGGGTACTCATATTACCCGTAAATACCCGTCCAATTGGTGGAACAAAATTAAAACTACAATCAAGCATGAACTCAGACATGTAAATTGATTCATTAAATTGAAAAACTTCCTACCTTCACAACACACACCTCCAGAAACAAAGGAATCGATCAACTACCTCAGACCCCTAGACAAGTAAGATTCATTTCTTTGAATATGTAGCACTAATAATGATAAGCCATTTAGTAAAAATGCGCCTCACCCGTTTCACAACTGCTTCCCAGTAACCTTAAATAAGGAATTCCACCAAGCTAAACATTCATCAAGACTAGCACACTGAAGCTTAATTACCTGGGATGGAGTTCAGTAGAGTGCTTATAATGGGCTGTGATGGGATCAGTCAATTTGGCAGTAGAAAGTTCCAAGGTCTCAAAGTAAATGGGTTTTGGGCATTGGACTAATGGGTATAACGGGTACCCGTAATACCCAAACGGGTATTAATGGCGGTAACCTGCAGGTATCCAAAGTAGTAATTCTTGATCCCAAGTTTCAACCCGTAAAAAAATTACGGATATTTGGGTACACGTACGTAACTATTAGACCGTATATATATTCGTATGTGCTGTATTAGTTGTACAGGAAAGCCCATGACGTAAACCAGCCCATGCAGCTAGGGCTGGCTATTTGGTCCTGGACTGTTTGATTTTACCCGAAACCGGGCCGTATAACCCAGACCGGGACCGGACTGGGACCGGATAGCAAACAATCCAATCTCATATTCTGGCTTAGATTTGAGGTAAAAAACCCGGATAAAGACCGAATTAAGAGACCCCCAACACCTAAAATCAAGATCAAATTGGGACCGTACCGGGTCAAGACCGGACTGAATCAAGACCGGGCTGTATCCAATCCAATCTTTGGTCCTTATATTCCCGAAAAGACCGGACTGGGACCGGATCAATTTGGTCCAATTTAACCGGACCGGACCGTATAGCCACCCCTACATGCAGCCCATACGAATATATATACGGTCTAATAGTTATTGGGATCAACTGGTTCTTGACATGGTATCAGAGCCTTCTGTGACTGAGAGGTCTAGTGTTCGATTCCCGGTGACCCCCATTTGTTAAGCACATGGTATTCTTGTCTTCAGACCTGTGCAAACTTCAAGCCCTTGTGAGTGGCTTTCGTTTGAGGGGGCGTGTTAGTGTTGTGGTATATGATCCACGATTGAACCTCTCCCAACAACTCGAGTTATTGGGAGCAACTGGTTCTTGACAATAACCGCCTGAAAGTCTTGTCGTCGGAGGGCGAATTGGAGAGGACACCAGCAAATTAAAGCATTCCACCGTCGTTCCGTTCGAGCAACCTTCACGGGAAGAGTGGCAAGAGAACTGGGACCGAACAATAGCAAAGCTCTCTAACATGTACATGTAGGTCCCCTGTTGCAGTCGGTTCCAATGATCTTGTCGTTGCCGCCGTACCATCATCGCCGACTGTGGAGATTTCATTATTGTTTCCATCTTCGTTGACCAAGACGGCTGTGAAGTCCGCTCCGAATCGCATTGTCGCCGGAATCGAAGAGGAGGTCTCTCTCTCTCACGTCGAGTTTGAGGGATCATTCGCCCCACCCGTGGTCAGCGATAGCTTTACTGTTGTGGCGGCAAATGTCGACGATGTCACGACCATTCGCCTCAAAGGGGAGCTTCAACCTGCAGTTGTCTCCACTGAAGGCCGAGCGGAGATGGTAGACGATAAAGAAGGAGGAAGGTAGCACGAAGGAGGGTTTCCAAGCAAAAGACAAATTAAACAATGGCCACTCCGTATACGTGTGCGAATGGCGTTGCTCAAGTGTACTCCGCTTAGCGGCGGACCCAGAAAATTTTCATAGGGGTGGCCTCTTTTAAAAAATAAATTAAATAAAAATAAAAATAATTAATAAAAATAAAATTGTAAATATGAAAATACCTTACTCGTATAGGTTAAAAAAGTCCATGATATGTTTTCATATTCGGAAATAATTGTAGAATACACTTGGTGTCTATAGTGTTTAAAAAATTGTCTCTATATACACTTCTAGCTAGACAATCATTCACGAACTTATCACATATTCGATTTGTAAACTTGTTCTTGATGTAACCCAAAGCTGAAAGACTCTTTCAACACTTGCCGTACAATCATAAAATCAATACAAATTAAGGGTAGTTTGAAATTAGTTTAATTATTAGGTTTTTAAAATAATTAGAGATAGGGAATGCCATTTTACTATTACACATTGTTCAAAAACTAACAACAAATGAGTTTAGCTCAACAGAAATTAAGTTTATTAATAATAATAGTGTTCTAAATTTGAATTATCAAACCTACCACTTATATTCCTATACACAAATGACAGTAGGATAATCACTTTTCAAATTTAAGGGGTGTCCCTCACTATCAATTATATTTTTTTTTCCATACGTAAATTACCACCGGAGGTTGAATAATTATTTTTCCAAAATTTAGGGGTATCCGGGGACACTACTAACCCCGGGTCCGCCCCTGACTCCGCTAGCACAAAAAGCTAGCTACTAGTGGGCAAGGAAAGGAAGCAGGGAGTTGATGAAATTGCTAGAGTCCACGTGGCCACAGTACTATTTGATGGGGGGATGCATGCGATTCTTTGTTATTGCATGGGAACTCCCTTGGATGGGAGTAAAGATATGAGAGCTAGTAGGGAGCGGATTTGTTTGAGTACCGGGGTACAACTGGAAGACTCGCAAGCGGAAGAAGAAACCTCGAGCCTTCGTTGTCATCAACAAATGGGAACGGTTCTTTTATATTGACCCGGGTTGAGTATGGATTGAGTTAGCTCGCTAATTAACTTGAATATCGGGGACGAGGTTCTTCAAAGGGGGAGGTTTGGTGCATTATAGTACAAGAACCGTTATTATTATTCTCCTAATTCGTATGAGTTATTATTATTAGTAGTTTTAGAAGGTAATTGTGTTATGTTTTAGAGTTGGGTTGGGATTAGACGTAGTTGCCGACAATTACTTGGCTGAGTAGGATAGGGTTAGCTATTAGGGTTTCTTACGTTTGCCTATAAATATGTACTTGGTGGTTCAGTTATGATAATGAAAAGAAGAACAGTTCAGTTTATCGTTATGTTACTCTAGGAGTAGACGTAATTTAGCTAAAGATTCCGGTCATGCATTATGGTGGTGATTCCTTGGGGGCTCTCTTAGTTTCTTGATTTTGGGTTTGTCTTCTTTTACCATGCTCCTTTCTAGTTGTCGATCGCGATCAGTTGTATGAAGTTCTGATGTTTTGTTTAATTTGGGGTTTGTCTTCTTATGGAAGGAGTAAGGACTGAAGGGGGATTTGTAATGTTGGGTGGAGATTGGCCGAATGAGAATTTTCAGTTTTGTGTGTGGTATATAACTATATACAAATATATGGGTCAGACTCGTATGCTCCCGGATCGGATCATAGTATATTCCAGATACTCCTAGTGAGATATATTTATTTAGATCATGAATTAAACCTAGTTTGAGGCATAATACTATACCCTAACCTCTAATGGATAAACCCTAGGCTTCGATTTTCTTAACCGAAACCCGAAGTTCAATTTAAGAGAAAACAACAATTGACCGTTGAGATTTGTCGAAGCTCAACGAAGTACATCTAACCCCGGATCATCTAGAGCATACGAGCCATATATATATATGGTGACTA